AAGAATGAGGTTGGATATAGCCCAGCTACATCGATACTCTAAACACAAGACGGAGCAGATGGAGGACTACAAATTGGCCTGATGTGTGTACCGAGCATGCCTGCTAAGGGCTAGGTTCGAGCATATCAGGGAAAAAATAACAGAGAGCTAAGACCCAGACATATTTAGATTGGCATGGAAGTTGGAAGCTAAGCGAACCCTTCCCTCCATGGCCTGCTTAGATGGGTCCTATGCTACTACACATTCAGACATTAGTGACCTGATTGCACAGCAGTTGTCTCCTGTCAACCCCACCTCTTGGGAGGATTCCAAGATCGATATGGACAGTGCTCAGGAAATGGAAATTACCCTTGCAAGGTCCCCTACGAATACAGGCACGGGTGAGGATGATATTGGCTATCCCTTCCTACGTTTTTGGAAATGAAGAGATATAGCAACATTGAGGCGCATGGTGGACTACAAGTTACGACACGATATTCCAGACTAGCATAAGGCTGAGGTGGTACTCATACCCAAGCTGGACAAACCCTAGTATGTTGTCATGAAATCGTGGAGGATGATACATCTTTTTCCAACACCGACAAAGGTCGCAGAATGGGTAGTACTATTGAGACTGGCTACCTGCCTGGACCTGGGAGAAACATAATTCGGGTCTCAACGGAAGAGGGGTGTTCATGATGCCATGGCTGTGGTCTTCGAGTTCTTGCAGCATAATGAAGGCTACAAAAGGCTGATCTTGTCAATGGACGTAGAAGGAGGGTTTGATAACATTGATATCGATTTGCTGTCTGACTTTTTGGTGGCTAGTGGGAGCCCCGGATACCTTTACCAATGGATCCGTCAGTGGGCTTCCTGTTGGTCGGTACAGTTTCACTTCAACAGGTGTGTCTCTAAGCCCTACTATGTTAGTAAGGGAGTGCCTCAGGGCTCACCACTGTCCCCGTTTCTTTTCGGTAGGTATGTGGCAGACATATTCAGGCCATGCATACGATACTCCCCCAGTGTACATCAGCTGGTGGTCTCGTACTTCGATGACGGGATTATGGTAGCGGCAGAATCTTGCAAAGCAGCCCAATATCATGCGCAAGAAATATTTGCAGATTCTGACCGCATAGCCAGAGCGAGGGGAATGGGATTTAATGCCCTCAAGACTCAGTGGATTGGGTTTGGAGATAGGGCATGGGGGGAAATGGATTTTTTAGGAGAAATAGTGTTGCCTTCGGAGGACTTACGGGTTCTTGGGTATAGGTTTAATGTGTTTCTTAATTTTTCCTCTCATGTAAAGTATTGGTTGGAAAGGGGGTTGGGTGTTAGGAGAAGGATTTTGGCATTGGGGAGGAGGTTTGGGAGTGTTGGTGGATTAGGGGTGTGGGAGACTTACCGTTTGGTGCAGGCAGCCTACCTTCCAACCATCTACTATGAACTTGAGTTTGTAACCGACTATGCGTCGTATGTGAAACATATTCAGGTCCACATTAACGACTGCCTCCGGTCAGTGTTTCGAACGCCTATGAGATTAGCAAACATACTATTAGCCGAGTTCGGAACGCCGCCCGTTGCTATTCAGGGGAGGTATCTACAACGGAGGTGTTATAGTCGGTTCATCAATTACTGGTACTCTGACCAGCATCCGTGGTTTGGAGAAATACGACTACAGTGGAAGGAGGAGGGCATGGTGGCACATCGACAGAGCTCAGACAAGGAGCTCACCTGTCGCCTGTCAGTCTCGATTGGGAAAGGCAAGGCGGTGATGGCTGCATGCCACCGAGTGTTATACAAAGGCCTGTGTACATCTTCGGATGTGGTTATATACACAGATGAGTCCAAGTGCTCGGAAGGGGCTAGTGTAGTCTGGGTGGTGTTTGAGAAAGGAGTCTTGACCTGTGTTGACGGGTACTCAGTCCCCGCATCCTGGAGCATTGTGGAATGTGAACTGTTTGCCGTTGTGTGTGCCCTTCGGCATGCGCAGGATATGGCCAAGAGACGCCCAGTTTATGTGTTCTTGGACTACGTGCCGGCCCTCATCATGGTTGATAGCATGTTTTCAGATGGTGACTCGGCTGAATTGTGAGAGGTAATGGTACCCCTGTTGAATGCATTCTCACACATTAGTTTCGGTTGGATCCCCGGTCACATGGGCATTGATGGCAACGAGATGGTTGACTTGAAGGCCAAGGCATGTATTGGATGCCCCCTGTGCCCTCTCCTCTGGGAAGGTGTTAGCTTTGGGATTGGCCATGCAGTCCGGGCTCAGGAGCTTCGAAAAAAGGAATGGGGGACTTGCATGCTAGAGAAGGGTACGGATACTATGCCCGAGAACCAAAGGAGCTTCGGCACCTCCGAGGCCTAACCCGGATGGATTCCTATGTTTTGATGAGGATCCGTAGTGGGACAGGCATGGTCGGCCATGATGGATGTGAAGGGAAGGAAGACCGACACCACTGCACTGAGTGCCCCCGCTATGCTAGGGGACGACCTGCGGATGAAGACTTGTATAAAGATTCGGCAGTCCCGAGGTGGAAGTACTGGTGGATGGAACATCGGTGGCTGGGCTTAGGGGTCCCTCGCCATATCAGACTAATAGATGGGAAGCTGGTTGTGGCGGGTAATCTCTTTGATGGCACACTGATAGTGGAAAGGAATGGGGGGACAGTATCAATAGGAGACCCTACGACCTGTACCCAGTGCGAGAAGAGACATGATAGCAGTGCCTGTGTACTGCCTAGCAAGGTGACACTACCGAAGAAGTGGTTCTTTTTGCCAGACCAATGGCGGTGCGATTGTCTCTGTTGTGGTACCGCCATCGCCGCTGCAGCCACGAAGAAACGCACCACTTTCACGGAACACTTTGAGAGACGTCCCCGGTATCTGCGGATTTGTCACAATCGATTCTGGAGCTCCCAGCATTTGCGGTGGGATGAGCTGAACCTGGCAACATGGACATCGCTGGTTTTGAGGTCGGCTAAGGTAAACGGGTTACTAAAGGAATCACACCGCCCCTACTGTGGTGTAGTGTTAGCAGAGGGTTACTGGATCTTGGGTTGCATTATAAGAGGGCGGAGGGATGTTGGGATAGACTGTATGTTTCTTTTATGGAGTATGTGAGTAAGATTTTGTTGGGGCCGGATAGGAGTGAGGGTATGAGACGGTGGCTGGGTAGCGAGGTGGGAAGAGGCATTAATCGGGGGCAGCACTAGTTGCTGCAAGCGCCCGTGAGCCCACTTAGGTAGTGATTTATGGATTTATGTTTGGGGGGAGCGGTTGCGAGGCAGAATGGTCCACAGTAGTGTATTTTAGATAGTTTGTTTTTATGGTGCGAGGGGGAGACTGGTCCTATGCCAGTGTTGGCGGTACTAGTATAAATAAAATTAGATTGAATTCTAAGTACTTTTCCTACTTATTACGTCAACAAATATAAAACACCTTTACAATCTTTATCTTTATTGTAACATTATCGTTATGCCAAGGAAAGTTCTTTACAAAGAAGAGTTAGAGAAAACTTATGATAGGCGTTTCCGATAGAAGACAAACGTCTTGTACTATTGGTAACTTAGGCAGAGGCCTAGTGCTATCGTAAGACGAAGAAGGAAGAAAAAGAAAAAGAGAAGTATCATTCCCCATCGCCAAGACCTAACCATCCAAGGAGGGATCGTTACAGTCTAAGTATATTTTAGGAGAGTGACTAGGGGTTAATCTATTCTGAGAGTTATTGTGCATGCACTGTTCCATTTATCTTTATTCATAACTATATTGAATTATGTCGTCAAGACGGAATTTACTTACAGCTTGTGAAAAATGGAGTACCAGGATATACAATAGGAGATATTCAAACAGAATTGAGAGTGGGAGAAATTGAACTTATTCAATGACCTATATTCTCTTCAGATCTGAAATATATTGAAAGGGTAGAGTATATTATGAAAAATTATCTGCAGGATAATTTTTCAGAAAATAAAACATATAATAGATTAAGAAGTGCAGTTAAGGGAGTTTGTAATAATACTGGAGAGTGAGAGCTTAAAGAGTTGATTGAAAGTATGCCAACAAGATGTCAGGCAGTTATTGATATAAATGAAATGTTTACCAAATATTAGATATCAGGTGTATTATATATGCCTAACAGATATTTGTTCCACTATTATTTGATTTTTAACCCTAGTTGTATGCAGTTAAAAATTGAAAGCAGTTCAGAGAAAAATCTTTTATCTTAATCTTTTTTTCCATCTCTCATATATTATTCTCACAAGCATATCTGAATATCAACTTCTACAAATTATAGATAGTACTGGAAACTGGCAATAATGAATCCACTTAATCTTATAATACTAACTTGTAGGTACACAAGTAAAAAGGTGTATTCCGTTCCCCCATTATTGACTTATTATATATTCAGCTTCTATTGGAATCCATCTATATAACGACTCACCCCAGTCCTTGGTTCATGAGAAATCACTCGACTTTAAAATATCTTTCCTTGAAGCAGAAACGCAGTAATATAAAGTAGGAAGAAAATAAAGAAGAGTTTTTTGTAAGAGTTTAAGCGATAGAAAGTATCTCAATTATTCGTTATATTCATATTATTAAGATACTAGGTAGACAGCTACCCGTTTAAGTATTCCAATCTCATAAATTATCTTTTCAACCATAGAAACGACAAAGACCAGCCATCCCATGACATTCCATTCGAAAAACTTCATTCCTCTGAGCCCACTTCATTCCTTATGATTCATTCCATTCCTGTTGGTCCATTTCATACCACTCCATTTCACCACTTCATTCCGCTTGGAGGTTGTCAGGAAGCCTAACGAGCATTCCTTACAACGTTCCTCTTCGCATATATCTCATTGGCTAAATTTCAATCTATTTTCAAAAGTTTATACTGCATCAGGAACACAAGATATTGAATTCAAATTATAGAGATTGTAGCTACGTGTACTAGCTGCGGTACCTATGGAATGAAATAAAATAGAGAAAGTTGCTTTTTGGGTTCGGTATGAACTTTTTCCCAACCCTACTTTTATGCACCAATTATCGTTGGTTTATCGCGAGCAGCACCATAGATACTTCTAGAACTACAACGAATCCCATCCCATCCAATCCCACCAAAAACGCCTTGCCAAACCAATCTAAATCTGCACAATCTCCTTCCCCTTCATCTCCGGTCTCTCGGTCTCCCACTCATCCCGCAGCACGGCAAAGATAGCGTCCGAGACAAGAACCGTAACTGCAAGGCTCCACACCAACGTGATTGCGTAAAAGAAGTTGGCGTTGCCGGAACCGGCGTAGATCCATAGATGATAGAACGCGGGGCCTAGGAGGGTAGCATAGAGGAGTGTAGAGGTGACAAAAAAGGTGTAGCGCATCACTATTTCATATCAGCCTTGCGATGTAGGGAGGGAGGAGAAAAGACATACGTGGGAATATATGTCTATACAGCGATAGCAAAGAAAGGTATAGCGCAGTATCCCCGATTGAAGGATACGACTTGAAAATTGAGCTTATGCCCAACAAGGTCGTAATCACAAATAGAGGTTGTTTCCTATCATCCAATTTAGCGTCCCTACGACGGAGCATTCAAGAATAAAGAATAACAAACCTCAACCGCAGGCACAATCCCGCCAAATAAACCGCCAAATGCAACTGAAAAACGCATAGAAAGAACTCTCGGAACGAATCAAACATCTCTATGAAAAAGTACCACCAAAGCCCTACATTCGGCGTCAGATCCGGCAGCAGCAGATGCACCCCATACGTCGATGCTAGAAACTCCCAACTCCCGCCCGTGATCCCCCATGACAACGCGCCGAGTCCCGCTGCCGCAACGGTAAACACAGAAGTCAACATAACGGCAAAGCTCCCGAGATAGCGCCCCTTCTTCACCACTGGCAGGGAGTCGTACGCTAGCAGGACCATCGGCGGGAGCAATAGCACGGGGTAAAGTGACAAGTACGAAGCCATTGCGAGAGCTAACACAGCGGCAACACCCTGTCCTTGAACCCCCTTCGCAATAGCCGTCAGAATCACAGTATTTGTGAACACGATCGTCGGGCGAGCAATACAAGTTGCAATAGAGAACGGGTTGAACAAGAATGCTGCGGCGACGGCCCATGGCGGCCAAGTTGAAGATTTCCTGGGCGAGGTGTGGTACGGTGTCGAAACGCTCACTCCCGAGGTTGCGATTTGTATGAGTGAGTGTGCCGAGAGCACGTCCGAAAGTATGTAGACTAGGTAAACGACGATTGGATTCGACGGGAGTGTTGTGAAGAACGCTAGCAGCAATGGGGCCTACAACAGCGCTGTCAGCAAAGCCCCCCGGAGGAGCGGGGGGAGGAAAAGTGAAAACCTGATGAAAGACCCCCCCATCATAAGGTGACAATCCATGGGTATACAAGAACAGACCCTCCTGTAACCGTTTGAAGCTCGTTACAGGCGTAGACAGTTCCACACGATTGGTCAGTAGGTCAGGTAGCGAGGGGAACGCCGTGAACAGAACCAGTCTGAGTACCACCGCGGCAAAAATGACGGTGAAACTCCGCCGGTCCATTGTGTCCTGGCCGAGGAGAAAGGTAGAGGGAAAGAGAGAGTCGTAGGATTGTTGAGAAGTAGTCAAGAAAAGAACAAAAGGAGGGCGTTGGAAGCGGTGGCTGAGGCTTTCATGTTTAGCCCACCAAAAGCTTAGTGTCACAGTTCAGGGGTTCACCCTGCTACGAGTAGCGCCTGGTGGCCAGACATCACTACAAGTATCACAGATATTAACCATCAAACCTCCCGAGTTACGATATCGTATACTATAATACTGTACAAGACCTCGGCACAACCGAGTCGGAACCCTCACCAGTCTCGCATTTCGCACAAACCTTAGACAAATCCCCTCCCCAAACAATGTCCTGGCTCCATCTAGCAGTCGGCAGTGGCATAGCAGCAGCATTCAATGGGCTCTTCGCAAAACTCACAACTACAGTCCTAACAACCAGCCTCTCCTCCTCAATCGCCCGCCTATTCTCCCTACCGGACGACTCCAAAGCTGTCGAATTTGTTGTTCGAGGGGTATGTACCATCTGCCCATGCATGTTTGCGGGTGAAATTGACACGAACTTGAGGTAGATATTTTTTGGGCTGAATTTATTGTTCAACGCAATCGTATGTTGTACTATTGTAGCTATAGGCTACCCGGCATGAGTGTAGAGAAATAGTCATTGATGTTCCGAGCACCACAGATGTGGGGACTCTTCACCGCAGCACTAGCAAAAGGACCCACAGCAACGAAAGTTAGTATAGTCAATACTTCTGCGAACTTTATGGTTTGTTCCCCTTCCCTTCCCCGCCACCTTCCAAAGTTAACCTCCCTCCTTTGAATATAGACAACAGCACTTCTCGGCTGGGCAGTATTCACTGAATCCCTTCCGCCAACATGGTGGTTAGGCGCTGGCCTGCTCGTTGTCGGAAACGTGATAATCGGCCGGCGAGATGAGGAAGACAAGAAGGACGGTGCATATCGAGCCGTTGCCACCGACGAGGGAGAACTAAGGGCAAGGGGAGGGAGTGCGGAAAGTGAGTCTGATGACGGTAACGATGCGGAGGAGGGAGGGAGGCAGAACTGATTTTTTCGACTAGAGAAGGGAATGTGAAATGGGTACATAGATCTCGGTCTGTACGGTATGGTGTCGATGGGATAAGCTAGATGCTCTAAATTTGAATGACAGGAATTTGGGGAGCTGGAGTATTATATCGCGGTGTTTTGGAGACTTCATGATAACCGCCAGAAGTTTTTGGGGTATAATACTGTGTCATCGTTTTCTTTTTCTTTGTTTCTTTTCATGTCTAATAGTACAAATGAAGTGGGGTAATCATTACTAGTCATGCCAGGTACAGTGCATTAATGTCACTCTAAGTGAACCACCCATATGCAGTGCAATACTCGAGTGAAAAAATAATGAAAAAACTATAAAAAGTTAAGCAGCGAAATGAAGCACAAAAGGAGATGAATATTCCACAAGAAGACAATCAAACCCCCCACTACCAACTAATATCGACATCGAACCTCCTCAGATCCTTTCCAGCATCAACAACATCCTTCTTCGCTTTCATTCTCATATAAAAGATCGGGCAATCCCGAGAACTGCAAATGACCTCGCAATGGATGCTCCCCTGACACCTCTGACACTGCGTCCAGAGTCTGCTAAACTTGACCTCCAGCTCGGAAACTCTGGTCACGGTCTTCTGATACAGCTCGCCGAATCGAGGTTTGCAATCCGAGCAAACAGCTCCGCCAGCCTCTTCCTTCTTCGTGAGTGGGATCTTGCACCCCATGCACGTCTCGGTCTTTTTGGCAAACTTCATGAGCCCTCCAACTGTGGGTGCTGAAACCGAGATGGTGCGCGTATGATCACCAGTTACTATATATGTATGTTAGCATGGATTCACTGAAATTCGGCTGTATAAGTCATCTGAAGGGGGTACGCACACAACTGCTGAGCCTTCCTATCACCAATGATGGGCTCGAAGATTCTGCTCAGGGGCTTTGAAAGTTGATTCTCGAGATAGTATTTGGTATCGATGGGAACAGAGTTCTCGAGCACGAAAATTGGATCTTCGGATTTCTCGTAATTCTTTGCGCCACCTGCGCCCTTCACAATGACATAGGCGACACGATCCCCAAGTGTTGGCGCAGAACCTGTTACACACAATTAGCCCCGTTACAAACAACCCCTAAGGCTCGGGGGACCATATACCAGCATCACGTTTCCTCATTCTCTCTGCAAGCTCCACATGTGCTTGTTTTGCGGTATAATCATTTTTTGAAAGAGCCTTTGTAATCACCAACTGACTCATATCAATGCGGTTTTGGAGAAGATCCGAAATCAAATCCTTGACGTATCTACGAATTTCCAATTAGCACACCAAGCCTAGTCACATCAACCAAGGGCAGGAATGCACACGTCTGGGCCCCCTCAACGTCTTGATCGATCAATAGCTTTCTCAAGACCGTCTCAATACAAACTTGAACAAGTCTGCAATTGTCTCGCCTAACCGTTTCGATTCCCTTACTATCCATCTTGTCGTGCTTCTCCGTGTTCGTCCAGTAAAGGCCAGCGTACCGCTTTTTGTTGATGAGTAAATACGGGAAGTACACCTTTTCAAACTCCAGCTTAATAGGAGTAACAAACTTCTGCGAGACAAATTCTGCCGCCTCTTTCCCCAACTCCATGGCAGCAGGAAGATCTTTAGGCCCAAACTTCACCATTACGGAATCCGTGTCTCCATATATGACCTTGGCATCGTGGGTATACCCATTTGCAATGGTGTATCTCTTTTCAACCTCCTCCTTTGTTCGCATAATCATTTGACGACCATAGCCTGTGACACTTGAAGCAATTGGTAAACATGGCAGCTTCCCCACAGTCGCACCGGTGATACCATAAACAGAGTTGGCGGAGATTTTTAAGGCCAATTGTCTACCGTTCAGAACGGCCTTCTCGAAAGGATCAGTCGCTTTCTTGAGATCTGCCTTTGCCTTCTTTCTTGCTCCAAGCAAGGCCTCCAAAATCAAAGGCACCATCCCCTTGCGTCTATGAGCCTTAACGAAACGATCGCCATTTGGAGTTATTTCGTAATCAATGTCCTTTTGAAGGCCGAGCCGGTCGCAAGTTTCTTTCTTAACAAGAGTCGTATAGCAAAGGTTATGCGCTTGCATGATACTGGGATACAAGCTTGCGAAATCAAGAGTTGCGATTGGCACATCATAATATCCCCTCTCTGGCTCAATAACTGTTGCCCCTTCGTACTGATCATCACCACCCTGTGGTGGGAGGTTGGGCACCACCAATTTTTGTTCCTTAGCTTTTCTGTATAGCTGTGAAATGAATTTAATCTGCTGTCCACGAGACAGCAAATAGTTGAACGGGACGCCGGTGACACGAGCCATCTCCGTATAGTTGACCAAACACATGAGCTTATCCATCAATCTCTGGGGAAGATAAGCATCCTTGAGACAATACACAGCCAGACGACGTCTCGAGTCTGCGGTACCGTTTTGCAGTTCAGTGATCATACTGTGATGTACGTCTTCCTTCTGCTCGCCTAGGAAGTGGGCACTAACAGAATTCAAAGTATATGAACGAAGCTGGAAATCACGTTGGACCAATTGCAACAAGTCAAGCTGGAGACGACCATTAGTATTCGTTGCTTTCGTATCGCGATTCCCCATTTGTTTGCTGGAAAAATTGGAATCCTTTGCTTCCGATTTCACGTTCCTAAGTCGTGTCCAATAGGGGAATTCAACAAGCTTCAGATACTTCGCGCGGTCAAGCAGATAGGGAAAATCAAAATTGGCAATATTGTAACCAATGATGACATCCGGATCCGCCTCATGTAAGAACTGACTCCAACTGATCAACATTTTCCCCTCGTTATTGAATGAAAAGACCTGTGTATTTACGATAGACGCACAAGTCCCTAAAGTGAAGACATTTCTGATAAATGGCTTGCTCTCGCCGTATTTAGTAATCATATTAGCAATTTGAATGACAGGATCTTGATGTGGCTCCGGAAAAATCCCCTTTCTTCCAGCGCACTCGATATCAAAGGACAAAATCCGTAATGGTGCCATCTTCTGGTATTCCCCCTCTGAGGGATGGGAAATCAAATTCTTGAAGTGGACCTTCGCCTCAATCTGGCAGTTCGACAGTTTCTCCCTTGTATCAACCAAGCGATATTCCCCAGCAGGAACCTCCACCCAACTCATTCCAGGTATCATTGTGTCAACCATGAACCTCATTACATACTGAATCGCATCGTATGTCATTATGCCACCATCCCCGGCAGGCCACATCTTTTGATAATTCGCATCTCCATGCTCAATCAAACTCCGTAGACGAGGAATTATCTTTGGGTCCGTAACGTCAATCTTAATGTACGGCGACTGCTGGTTTCCATTGAATCCGTACAGATTCTCGCGCAAGAGAAGATGAACACAAGCGATGGCAGGATCTAAGCCATTCTGGAGCTTAGCCTCAAGAAATCCTCTGAAACCTGGGATATGCTGCTGAGTAAATCCGATTGGAGCTGCGACGTAAAGGTAGTGGTGGAAATCTGTGACATGAAGGAGAACTGAATGGCCAGCCTATGATCATAACCCGCTGTTAGTATTTAATTCCCACCTCCCAATGCTTCCCAAACAATAACTAAATTGGGTCCAGTTTACCTCCGTCACACCGAACAGCTGAATTGTGGTTTTCCTATCGAATGTTCCCTCATCGCACTCAATCTGCTGAAAAATCAAACTTTCCTCTTGAGGATTCCAACTTTTCGGTAGGTGAGGTCGGCACCAATCCTGGTCTTGCTCTTGGCCTCCTACAGACAAATTAGACCATGCTAATCCACAGCAAACAAACTAATTGTCAAACATACCTGTTTTAAGTTCGTTGACTTCTTGGGTAAGCCTCCCCAAATCCTCTTCGAAGCTGCTCTTCGTGTGCTTTAACGACTGGGCACGGCGCTGCTCTAGAGTATCACTCTTAGCTTTCTTGTGAGGAACACGGTCTTCGTCTGACTCCGTTGGCTCCTCTTTCTGGCGTTTTCCGTTTTTGTCGAAAGCAATTATTCTTCTCTTCTTGCCGGCGGATGGCATCTTGATTGTGTGGAGACAAGTTGGGTGGCAACAAGATTGCTGTCGGTCGAGAATATTTTAGGCAATGGTCAGCGCCGTATCGGAAAAGAGGAAAAGGAAAAGGAAAAGAGAAAGAGAAAGGAAGGACCTGGTTAGAGTGTCAAGGAGTGCTGAGTGTGAGAGAGGTGGGTTTTTCTTTCGGCCGCCGAGGTGTCGCGTTTCCACATCTACAGTGCTCGTACTGGGTCTGGGCTTGGGAAACACGAGTTTAAGATACGCGTTGCATTGAACAAATTTAATTTACCCAAATTAGGGTAGCACACTCACAATTATGCCTTGGCATCAGATCGCAGATACCGGCACAGCCATGTCCGTAAAGTCTTCATACTCCGGCTCAGCAACGGTGTTGTCCTCCATCCCCACAACAACCGCCTCTACCATGACCCCCCCACATACCCGAAGAGCTAGAGAAGACCAAAGTAAGGAAATTTATGCCCTGTATAAACATACTGATATGGGGTATAATAAAATTTCAAAGGTTATGGGTATCTCTAAGGCAACTGTTCAATCAGTATTCAAAAGAGCTGAATCAAGAGATGGAAATACCCATGATGCCCCCAGATCTGGAAGACCAACAACAATTACCCCTCAAAAAAGAAAGATAGTGGAGTCCATTATCGATGCCGAGCCTCATTTAGGATTACGCGACATTACCAAAAAAGCGAATATTGGTCTGGAAAAGACATCTGTAGATAAGATTATATCAGAAGCTGGTATTAAGCTTCTGATACCTAGAAAAAACCCTTTTTGGAGGAAAGGACAGAAGGAGAAGAGAAAGGAGTTTGCTAGGAGAAGGAGGAATTGGAGGGGTGCATGGAATTGGGTTGTTTTTGTGGATGAAGCTACCATTATCTATGATCCAAATCCTACTGGCAGGAAGGTCAGAGTTAGACCTAGTGAAGAGCTGGAAGAAAAAAACTTGAAGCCTAGCTTTAAGACTGAGAGGACTAGTATTGGAGTATATGCTGCAATTATGAAGGGTGGCAGGACTGAGTTAATTCTTATGAGGAAGAGGGGGGAGGAAGAAAGGACCAGCAAAAGAGACAGACTTGGCTCAATTCCCACCAATATGCAACTGAAATCCACCAGCCATACCTCATCCCTTTTATAGAAGGTCTGGATAGACCTTCTGACAACATCTACCTAGCAGCAGACAATGCCTCCTGGCATGGTGGTGAGGAAAACAGAAAATTGCAGTCTGTCACGAATGTGGCTTAGCGAGGAAAAGGTTTTCACGTGACACATGCTTATGAGTCACAGGTATGTTATTGTTTCACACATATGACTCATTCGAGTCATATGATTTATTATGTGTGGGATTTGTGATGCTTTCGCACATGACTCGATAATGAGTCATGAGACGTGTACCTGGCGAGTATACCTTGTGAGTATGCCTTGCGGGTACGCCTTGCACATATGATTTATGTTTTGCACATGATCTCATTATAAGGTCATGGGTTTCACGCATGTGACTCAGCTGAGTCATATGACTTGTTTATTGCATTATGATTGGTTTGTGAGTTTTTGCACATGACCATACTACGAGGTCATCAGTTTTGAGCATGTGACCACTTTGGTCACATGATTAGTTTGTTATAATTTGGTTTCGCACATGTGACCACTTTGGGTCACATGACTATGGGCGGGAAGAATACTATATAAGGAGGCTGATGTGACTGAGGAGGATAGGTTCTTCATGCTTTGTTCTAAGTACTTTTCCTATTTATTACTTTGACGAATATAAAACACCTTTACAATCTTTATCTTTATTGCAACGTTATCATTATGCCAAGGAGAGCTCTTCACAAAGAAGAGTTAGAGAAAACTTACGATAGGCGTTTCAGATAGAAGACGAAGGTCTTGTACTATCAGTAACGTAGGCAGAGGCCTAGCGCTATCATAAGACGAAGAAAGAAGGAGCAGAAGAAGAGAAGTATCATTCCCCGTCGCCAAGAACTAACTATCCAAGGAGGGATCGTTACACAGTCAGACTGTGGTTATCAAAAATTGCCTTAGCCACCCAACTCACCAGGTTTCAATCCTATTGAGAACACTTGGGTTCTGCTCAAAAGAGCCCTCAGAAATCAATTCTCCAGGTTGGATAGGAAGCCTTACAGTGCTGCTTAATTATTTCAGGCAGCAAAGGAGGAATGGGATTTAATTTCCCAAGAGAAGTTGGATGGGTAGATAGATAGGATGCCTGAGAGAATACAGGCTGTACTAGATGCAGATGGTGGTCATTCAAAGTGGTAATAATATTTTCTTAAGGCTTATTAGTTCTATTCATATACTTTTCTTAATTGAGTTGTTTGGATTTTTTTTCAATTTTCCATGGAGAGGTGTTGTGGTTGTGTGGTTACACCGCCGGGGTATGAAGACCTTACGAACATGACTGTACTCGTACATACTTGGATGCTCGTTCCATATAAAATTATTACCAGTAGTCTACTTGGGTAAGAAGGGAAATGACACAAGTGCTATAAGTTTTTCTATGAGTGCTTGAGTATGATACAACACTGTCTTGCTTCCTGCGGTTCGAGCTCTTTAATAGGCTATTGGCACACACGTCACCACCGGTCCTTGATATCCTAGGGGCCTCGAGAACAGAAGTCAAGGTCACCCTAACAAGAAGGATAATTCGAGCTGTATCGATTAGTCACAGCAACCCGATGTACAGCAGGAGTTTAGGTAAAATTATCTATTTCGCAATTTATCTGTGAGAGGGGTTGCTGGAAAGGGAAGAAGCCAAGGGAAGTGAAAGAGAAAGATCTGTGTCCAGTGCTCACTCTCAGTCTCGATGGATCGTCCTCCTTTTCCACCGGTGGGTCCAACAGCCCCCTCTAGTCTAATTGTTTCACTTTCTACTATGAATGTCAACGAATTCCTGACAAATAATCAACACAATATGTTTTGCCAATGTCTAGGCTGACTACCACGGGTCTATTCACGCATCTAATAGCACGCTTGGTGCATATGTTAAAGGTACTGGGTAAGTGCAATGAAAGGCTAGAACAAGAGGTGGCGGTGGGAATCCAGTGTCTGTGAGGAGGTTGGTCCAGAGTGGTAATAAGGTAGCGGAAATAGTAGCTGGAGTACGGTAGTGAGAAGTAAAGGGCAAGAAGTGACCTCAGCAGGGACGAAAACAGAAGGGGGGAAGAGGAGGAATAATAGTCACAGCTGGACCAAATGGATTGATTGTTTTGTTCAAAGGTGAAAAGATGATCATTTCCCTTGAAACCTTCTCTGCCGTGACCACCGGCACAGCAGAGTGACTAAGCAATAACCCCCCCCTTCTGTGCGGCCCATTATCCGACTGCAAATTCCGCAGATTATATCGCATCCAGTCACTCGTATCTTGCTTCATGCTCTGATGTGAACTCCACCCGCGGACTGCCGTAATCAGCTATAGCACTGGGACCAGGGAACGAGAGGGGGGGTCGCTCCAGATCCGATTACCATTAGAGAGCCTGGTACCGTTATTCGTGCAAGCGAGCGCCAGCACCCGCGTAATTGGAAAACTTGCCTGAGGATTCCTAGTACGACCTTGATACGAGGGGGAAAACAATGCTTAGACGGTGCTTGCTTAAAGGAACAATTTCTATAAAAGATCACGGAGATATTTGTATGGAAGGAACATCATAATACTGAGTATGATATTTAGATATGACCTTGGGGGGGGCTAGGGATGTCTAACCGTGCTATTAAAATCACCTAAGCTTTCTCTTTTCTTATTCGCCACATTACCTCCCTTAAGTCAGCCTTTTACTTACAGAGGTACAGCTCCTAAGTTTTGTATGTTGCACCAGTTGCTCACACAATGCCCACTGCGAGTGTAACATACAAAACTTAGGCGCTGTACCTCGGTATAGATACTTAAACGCCCTTGCCTAGTATTGGTATGAATGGTACTAAGGTAGATCATGAATTCATGGTACAGAGCAGGGGTGGTCATTCCTCCTTTGTAAAGTCAATTTTGGAACACCGAGAAAAGTTTGTGTTTCAACCAAAGGTCATGTGTGACACACACTGAACGCTGATTTGAGGAGCGGAGACCAGGTGTTGGTATCCTCTCTTAGAATAAAACGAGTGAAGTACTGGTGGAATAAGTAGAACGATCATACTCATGATACTTAGATCTTTAGAGAGAATAATGATGGTAAAAGTTGTCTTAACTATCCAAATAGTGCTGCTGAATACGAGGTATGTGTGTGTAGCTGAAAAGTAATGAGTGATATCTCATGAATACGTGTATGCTATTCGATGATAAATAGAACCCATAAGAACTCTTATGATAGTTCGCCACTTCTTACCAGTCTACTCTTGTTCTAATCTCTTCACAATGCCACCACCCTCCTCGAATAGTGATGAACATATTCCCCCTGTTTCGGGAAGTTCAAGCCATTTATGAACTTGGCTTTTCAATGCCAAAACCTCCGATGACGATGATTCTTATTTTTCATTTCCTAATCGCCCCTCTACCACCTCTACTACTTCCACCAAGTCTGGCTCAGAGTTTGACACTATTCTTGATGTAGATTCTGAACTGGAATGTGATCGCCCTAGCACACCATGCTCTATCTCAACCCCTGCTCTTTAGACTCAAGCTCAAGAGGATGCAGAAGTAGAAGTAGAACTCTTTATTTATAACTAATAGTATTCTAACTGTTGAATTAGTATCTATAATGTCAATACCAATCCACATCTCCTAATATATTACATCTGGAAACTCCGGTTTCTGACTTTAGTCTTATCCCTGCGATCGCCAATACTGATAGTCTACCACTACGTACCGAGGTTGATATCGCCCTCTGTCACAAGATACGAGGACTCAAGCATTTTACCCAGTAGTCTTATCAACATAACCCTATGGTGACTGGGGTGGCTCTCTCAACTGTGTACCGGATTGCACACCCTCCACTTACACCAATCTGGAACAATATTCGGGGCCGGCATTCCATTCTCCATTCTCCCCAGTGTGAAAAACTAATTACATTGGCGATAGCCACTGCAGAGAATTGCTATAAGCCATATAAGGAAATTGCAAAGATGGCTGGCTTGAGTGTATGTGGCCATATCCTTCGTCGCACAATGGCTTCTTCTGGTTACCACTGCCGCATTGCCCGTAAGAAGCCCTTTCTCTCTACCAAAACCCTGCAGGTAAGTCTTCTTTCTTCTCTAGTTGTGTCGCGAGTGGTATTCACAGTCGGTTAGATACTTTAAGAACTTGAATAATCAGACCATGTGCTAGGACATTGGACTTCCCTCTCTCAGCAAGATCTGGTGTTTTTTTTATTCTTATTTTGTCTTGTGGGGTAGACTTTTAGTGTGTTTTTTACTGCTCTTCTAGAGGAGGAAATTTCAGACTACCTCACACATAGTCCAGTTATTTGAGTTCTTACGCTACTAATCTCGATACCTTATTATATCCTATAGACTATTTGTATATTAACTAATATAATTTATCTACTAGTTAGGCACGCTCCTCTTGGGTTAATACCTATAAGGTTTGGGCTACCCAAGACTGGTCTAAGATTATCTGGACCGATGAATGCGCTTTCAATGTTGGTGGCGCTCTGGGCAGAGTCTGGGTTACCAGAAGAGTGGACAAGGAGTTTGAGGAATCCTGCCTTCTTCCTAAATTTAAAAAGTTGGAATCGATCCTAGTCTGGGGCTGCTTTGTTGGCCATCGTAAAGAACCCTTAATTGTATGGGATAAAGCTGCCTGGGGTAAAACTATCAACACTAAAGGATATCAATCCCACATCTTGCCACACCTAGATGAATTTTGACATCAGGAGTCGGTCCATACTCATGATTATGTCTACATTCAGCATGATAATACCTCCTCTCATCGCACTCCATCTACAGTTGTCCAACTACAAGAGCGTGGTCTTTACAATTATCTTCTTCCTTGGCCTGCTACCTCCCCTGACCTTAACCTTATTGAGTGTGTTTGGAGGTTAATGAAGATGCGAATCAACAAACTTCACCCCCACCCTCAGACTAACAAAGACATGATAGCTGCAATTTATGCTTAGTGGAACGCAATTACAGAGTATGAGCTTGGCCAAATACTGGATACTATGATTGACTGTGTTGATGCTGTTTCTAGTGCCAATGGTGGTCATACCAAATACTAGTTTTTTTTTTTTTGCTTTATTTTCTCTCTTTCTCCTCTCTACCTTTTGTGATCCCCTTCTCACCCCATATCCTATACCCCACTCCTGCACCCAGTACCCCACACCCACACCCTGCCCCAATACCTCATACCCAACACCTTGTACTCCCATCCCACTTTCCCTTAATAGTCACACCTAGCTATCCTAGATGATTAAAATCCAATTAATCTGTCCGAAATCATATATGATTTAGGCTAACAGGTTTTAACTCTTACTGCCAAACCTGACTCCAATTCCTAGCATTTCATATAGGATCGCCAGGCATCCATATTTTCCAGGGCTAGGATAGCCTGATTTGACTTTAGTTAGCTTTGTATTCTTTGCCCTTCATTCTTCTCTCCCCTTCCAATCCTATTTTTCTTTATATTCTCATCTATGTTTCTATTTACTACTCTTTTTCTGTGCTCTCCAGCACTAAAGATCAACTTTCTCCATCCCCAGGTGGGGCATTTCTTATGCTCTTTGCTCTTTCTTATTGTTTTCTCTTCAAGTTGAATGAGTTCTTGGAATGAAATACTCTGAAAAAAAGAAAAAGCAGTAATGTTTGGTTATGATTATCATATATTTTGTTCTTTAGTTCTCACTTTATTCAATTGAGTTGCACTTATTTGGCCAAAATTATGGCACACACCTGATAAGCGCTGTACCACTGCTATCTCACATCTGATCCCTGCTCTGTACCATGAATTCATGAGGTACCCTTGTACTCGAGTACGGAGCAGGGGTGGTGCCCGGTGTTTTAAGGCGGCACTTTGGTATACTGCAACAAAAGAAACATTTCAACAGAAAAATATGTGTTATGGTGCAGAACCTCTTAAACTAAACCCTTTACCTAGATTTTCTCTCATCTCAAGTTGATGGTGTTTTTGGCTACAACATACCTAGAAAAGAAATAACATATTAGATAGTAGATCAATATATTCTCTAGATATGGGTAACAAATTTTCAATGGATTGTACAAACCCCTTAACAGAGTTTTATATTGATCAATGGTTCCTAGAGTGTATAAAATGCAATCAGGATTTAAGGAGTTACTTACCACACTACAACCAGCCTTTAGGAGTGTTTAGTTTTATGAGCTTATGAATTTATCAATATTCATTATCATAGTTTTGCTTGATTGATCTTCCTGGTCCAAAGAGAAATCATTATTCTAATGATGTTTTATTTGAAGCGTACTACATCTACTGAGACATTACTAGTGCGGTGTACCATGAATTCATGATATACCCTAGTAGGAAGCCGGCAGTGGGACTAAACAGAGCCTGTAACTTGTGGCCAGGGTAATACAATTGGGGAGAGCCACGCACAGATTTCGAAAACTGTTGCGTGATAATATGAGAACAAAGGATGCTGTAGCCCTGAGAGTTCCACCCTAGGTTTGGAACTGAGTTTATTTTACTCTATCCGGTGTATTTAACCCACCCTCTATTAAGCTCACCTAAAATGAAGAAGAAGAAAACCTAAAATACATCCCAGCACAAAACTGAACTAAGACTTAACCAAAAGACTCTGACCGGTCATATGATCGCTCTGGTCCAAACCCATCGCAGCCAGGATAGTGGGAGCAACATCGCCCAAAACCCCATCCTTCTTTTTCAAACTCCATCCCTTGGGTGCGTTCGCCATGATAAATGGTACGGGATTGGTAGTGTGGCTGGTCTTTGGGGTGCCCTCTTCATTCAACATCTCCTCGGCATTGCCATGGTCAGCTGTGATAAAGAGGATATATCCATGTTTCTTGCATGCCTCATAGACAACACCAATTGCGGCATCAGTGTGGCCAACGGCTTGAACTGCGGCGTTGTAGACACCAGTGTGCCCAACCATGTCTGGAGGCGCAAAATTGTTCATCAGGAATTCGAAATTTCCTTCGGCAATACGTTCACTGAGCTTCTCAGCAACCGCGGCACACGACATCCCTGGGTCTTGGTCATAGGTAGCGACTTTCGGGGAAGGAACCATATCCCTGGTTTCGTTCTCAAACCGCAGCTCTACTCCCCCATTGAAGAAGAAAGTTACCTGTTCCACCCGTATGATTAGCTGAGGTATGTGGGGTGGTGCACATAAGAAAACTAACATGAGCATATTTCTCAGTCTCGGCAACATGGCACTGTTTGATCCCTTTCTTGGCCAGCCACTCAGCCAAGACATCATCCATACGCTGCGGTGGGAATGCGATATTGAAGGGATAGTCGGTCTTGTACTGGGTCATTGTAGTGATATTGATGTTCCTGGGATAAGGGAAGCCGGGAAGAGGAGAATTATCAACACCGAGAAGCTGGGTGATCTCACGCACACGATCTGAACGGTAGTTGAAGAAGAAAAGGGTATCGTTGTCTTAATCTGAAATTAGCAAGAGCCCCGCTACTTGAAATACAGTAGACCAAGGATGCTAATAGGTGGAGTACCTTTAATTCTCGCTTCTTCTCCCGAGACGATTATCGGCTTCAAGAACTCATCCGTCTCGCCTTGCTCATATTTGGCCTTGATAGTTGCGACGGGGTCCTCCGAGGTTTCGCCCTTACCTTGGACAAGTCCCTCCAAAGCAACTTTAACACGCTCCCATCTGGAGTCGAAGAAATTAGTCTGGGCACCGATATTGCAAGCTATTATACTACTATACCTCTTGTCCCTATCCATAGCGTAGTATCTTCCCACGACAGTCCCAACCTTGACAGTATCTTCCATACCAAGCTCTTTGATCCTGCCAAGCAGTTCCTGCAGATACCTAGCACTACTCTTAGGGTCTGTGTCACGCCCATCACCGAACATGTGAATATAAACATGTGGGACTCCAAACTCCTTTGCAGTAGAGAGTAAGGAGTAAAGGTGATTCTGGTGGGAGTGTACTCCACCGTCCGAAATCAAGCCCAACAGGTGAAGACGGCCGTTTCCCTCCCTCGCACGCATCATTGAAATCTTGATGTTTTCAGTTTTGGGGAAGTCACCCTTCTTCATGGTTTGGTCGATTCTGACAACCTAGAGATTCTCATCAGTTCTTTCCCCTTTTCGTTTAACTAGACGTTTTAAAGTGCTTGTTTTTGCCTACATCTTGCCAAACAACACGCCCAGCACCAATATTTAAATGCCCGACCTCACTGTTACCCATCAATCCCTCGGGCAACCCTACAGCAAGAGATGAGGCTTCGAGAGTAGTGTATCCGTCCGTATTTTTGCGGAAGGAGTCCATTACCGGGGTCTCTGCATTACCAATAGCATCTCCGGGTAGGTTTTCGGAAGGAGAAATTCCCCAACCATCGATGACAACTAAAAAGAAAGCCAAATATATTAGCACAGGGTATTAATAGCAAGTGAGGCCAACTAGTGGGGAAAACAAACTCAAAACAGCTTTCTGGTTAACCATATTTTATATCCTAGGAGGAATCCGGGTATTTGTCCAAAGGAAAAAAAAGAGGATAAAGATAATTTTATCGAGAAGTATCTGGTGGGAGAGGGATTGCCCTAATCTAACTGGGAGAGAGGGAAGGAATGGGACATATCATACTAAGGGGGAGGGGAGAAGAGGAGGAGAGGGTGGGGGAGGAGGGAAGTGGGATATTTAGTGTGGGGCGAATGTGGTACCGGTTTCTGGGTCGTCCCGGCAAGCTGTTCCAGTAAAGATATGAGGTAAATATTGAGAAGATTCCCACTGATTATGACTACAGCTCTGTATGCAACTGAATTCCGGCAAGCCCACATATCCACATTTTTGGCCGGTAAGTGTCTCACCTGAGATGTATGATGGCGGTGACCCCAGGTTTTTTTTCCCTCTTCTCTCTCATTGTGCAGCTTACTTGAGTGCTCGAGTACTAGAATCGTAGACCATCTCACAACGCTGGGTTCCGGCCTTGTGCGGCGGCCGGGCCCAAGAGCGATGTATGACAACCAACGCAGCCAAGCCCTGGGCCGACGCACTATCTGATAAGCACTCAAGCAGCTGGCGCGCCTCTCTTTGTCCCATTCCATCCCGTCCATTGCAACGAGTCTCCCCCACTCTCGAATAAACACCTCAACCGAACCCCCACACCTCACTATTCCCATCTCTTAGCTCTTGGGCACTATGACAAATGAACCTCCATCAATTGCCACTTCGAATCTGCCCCCCGAGTTCCTTCCTGCGAACGCTTTCGACTTCATTCCAGATCTTCACGCATTACTCCTTCGTGTTTCCCGAGAGGAGCTCGAGTTGAAGGATGTCGACCACGAATCGAGTCACATTCGGCTGAAGATGGAAAAGGCTCGGGCTATGGTTGCTAATCTCCCGGATGTGGACCGCAGCCTAGAGGAACAAAAGAAAGAGATCCGGGAGCTCGAAGAGCGCATCGAGAAGCAGAGGGGCATGATCAAGGCAGTTGTTGAGATGCAAATCGTCAAGGACATCATCAGAAGGAGGGGTGGGGTGGAATGAGTGTTTCCAATGGGCTCTGGGCATTATGGACATCAACACAGCGGCCGTAAAGGGCATATCTATGTCATGATCGCAGCGAGAGAGTAGTATACGGGATAGATGCTGGTTGGGGTGTCAAAGGGTTCAATTGATTGATCTAGGATGTTCTCCATAAAATATGTGCTCGCGTAGAGTGGCATCCTAACTCCTACCCAGCTAGGCCCGTGCTAGTTAAATGACAAAAAGTTACCGTACTCGAGTTGACTATTGTGTTGTAATCTTCCTGGCGCAACGGTGAATAGGAGTGTTCTTATCTTCGCTACTGTACAGTACTCGTACCCGTCCTGGCCTTGGAGTATGGAAGGAGTTGACAAGGCGCCACTTGCAACCTACTACCGTAATACACTGCTGAGTACCGTGCGGTATCCTCTTGAGTATCATAATCATATGGTACGGCACAACGCGAGTTGTTCCCTCCCCAGTTCCGAGATAACTTCAGAGCAAGAAATCATAGAGCTGTTATCACTGGTGTCATAATCACGCAACTGGAGTGCTGTATATATTGTACGGCTCGTTCACTGAAACCCCCGGTCTGCTCGCCAATTTCTAAAGATACTGGTATCCAGAAACCTTGACGCCAAGGATCTGTGTTTTTGGTGTGCCTTAATATTAGGGTATGATACTCGAGTATGAAACTTACCGGTGGATGCCGTGGTGTTTGAAAAACCATATTGAGCCCTGGTATGATATCATACAGGTATTTGGCATGAGTTTAGACATAGAACAACCCAGTACCAATGAGGCTAGGATAGTGTTCACCAGCTGCCATACCGGTATCATACCAGCAAAATAAGTTGCTCTTTGCTCACCTCAGTGTAAAAATCGAGCTTGGATCATTTCCAGGCAAGAAGGCAGAGTGACTGTTTAGGGCTAACCCTGGTCGCGACCACCTACCACCACAAAACACAGGCCAACCCTTCACGAAATATTTCTAAGGCTAGCTACCAACAGCACAAACTTCACGCCCAACGACAATCAATCATCAATACACCGCCGACGTCCATTTCTTAACAAACAGTTGCCTATCATGCCTGGCGTTTCCGTCCGCGATGTTGATGCTCAAAAGTTCATTGACGCCTATGCTGCTTTCTTGAAACGTCAAGGCAAGCTCCAAATTCCTGGTATGTATTCAAAAAAATATTCGCAATTCACTTGATTACAGACAGCTGCTAAGAGAAATTTGTAGGCTGGGTTGATACTGTAAAGACCGGACACATGAAGGAGCTTCCCCCTCAATCTATTGATTGGTTCTACATCCGCGCAGCTGCTGTCGCTCGCCATGTCTACCTCCGCAAATCTGTCGGTGTCGGCCGTCTCCGCAAGGCTCACGGTGGCCAGAAGAACCGGGGGTCCCGCCCCTCCCATCATGTCGACGCCTCCGGCTCCGTTGACCGCAAGGTCCTCCAGGCTCTCGAGAAGATTGGCGTTGTTGAAATTAGCCCCAAGGGTGGACGAAGAATCTCTCAGACTGGACAGAGAGATTTGGACCGTAAGTTTTATCCTTACAAACAAAGAATAATAAATAAAATTCCCGTCCCCCCTCTAGCCGCTGGGAATATGAGCGGTGCTGGACGAGGGGTGCGCTTCGGGGTGCTGTCACTGACTGAGTGTGGTGAGCAGGTATTGCTCAAACTACTGTTGCTGAGGATGAGGAGGGCGAGGATGAGGATGATGACGAGTAAATCCGGTTTTCTTATAGATATCAAACGGAATTTCAGGCAAATTAAAATCTCGTGAAGGACTCTTTGGGTGCTCAATATTTCCCTTCCCATTTTTTTTTGTTGGAGCCTCTATTTCTGGGAAGTTTAATCGTTACTCTTACTCTGACCCAATTTGAAGTGACATACCCGGGGGCATGTCGAGGAATACGGCACAGCGAAGGGGGGAAAAATCGATGGGGATCAGTTGAAAAAGCGATAGACTGTTCAAACCTTACTCTCCACCAAATTTTTCGCGTTTTTTCGGTATGCCCTCCAGTATGTTAATACTAGTGACAAGTAAAGTTAGCGAAAACTTCTACCATCTTCTTCCCACTATTAGAATTGCCAAATCGACCAGCCTAGTGCGTTTAGATGAGCTTTAAGTATTCCATCCCGGCCTCCTTCCCCCCCCCTTTTCTCCCGTCACAATCAGACTTCCATGAAGCGACCCGTTATGTTTATCTAGTACCCCCATTGATGTTAGGCTGCAACTTAAAACCATATCTTGGATGAGATACTGGATCTTCTGAACCCGCCCCGCCTCAGAAAGACAAGGTATTGGCTAGTCTTGTCTTTTTTTTTTGGTCCTGGGTATGGGGTTGGGTACAACTACTGTATTCAGGAGAGGATACTACACTAAGTTCTGCACTTGGATGCCTTTTAACCCCCACGGCCAAAAGTGATATTGGTAGAGATGATAGGCTGCACCAATAGGCTTTCAGGAGTGGATGCTATTGGTGCAGGCTCTGGTGTAGGAAAATCACGCTCAATCACTCGGAAGCTTCAAGCTTCAAGCCTTCAGGTATCTACCGGCCGGATGCGAACACTGATTTTGCATGGTAAAATAAAGGGGGCGGATTGGCCCAAGATAATCTTATGGCGGATAGAGAAGGATCGCGTCATGGAATCGCATGTCTTCACCCTATTCCCATAAGTCTGTTTTTCAAATTCCCCCCTCTTTTTTTCCCGTCAGTCCGCAGACAGAGTACTTGCAGTTTTAAAAAACATCTGAATCATGCACCGTCACCATTACAACCACAGTGTTTGAAAATTCAACTTACCAAGAAGTCATGATATCAGCTTTTGGCCAATCATACTACAGAACCATATTGATATTAGGCGCCTACCACTTCTATGTTAGTATACGTAATAATCAAACAACTCAAGAGGGAGATTACGGGATTGTGAGATGGGTTGGGTCAAATGGAGGAAGCTTACAAGGTGATGAGGAAGGCTCTCACCTGTGAGAAGGCAGAAAGGAGAAGGGCAGAGAAGAAGCTTCGGGATTGCTTCAGATTTAGTCCTAGATATCGTGATTCCGGTATCCATTGTTTTGGAGCCCCTTTGCCCATGGTTAAGAAGAAGATTCTAGTAGAGGGTTTTGAGGAAAGGCAGAAGAGGTGGTTGAATGGAGATAACGTGCCTGCAGTGGAGGGGGAGCGGAAGGGGGAATTTATGGAGAAAGAGGTGGGAACCCGAGTTGACACTGAAAAGAGAAGGACTGTGGGGGGAGGGGATTTACCAGTAATACTAAAAGTACTAGATAGTATACAGTAGGATGATATATTGGAAGGTGTTAAAGAAGCCTTGCAAGAGACTGGCTTTGTAAGTTGTGATAGTTCATGTAAGTTGTTTAGTAAGACCAAGAGGGAGAGGAGGTTATTGGTTGGCCATAAGGTCTCAACAGTATTGTTAATGGCCAGGGTAGTAGGGGGATCGAATACATTGTATAGAGAGAAGTTGTAAGTAGGAGGTTATTGGTGCTTTGTAAAAAGGTTTATTGCTATTCTAGCCGATTTTTTTAAGTATCCGGACACCTTGGCGCAAATTTGTATGAGGCTTGGCACCAAGGTATCCAGATATTAAAAAAATCAGCTAGTACTAAGGAGGAATGAGGGTACTTGGATAAGGGAGTTTGGGGAGAGATTGGAGGAAATAAAGAAAGGGTTAATTCAGGTTAAGGATTACAAGGAATATCAAGAAAGCGGAATGAGAAGAGGGTGTTGGAGAATTTAACTATATAGAAGTATATAAAAAAGATAAAGGGGGGCCGATATGGGATAAACTATAGAGATTGAGGCAATGAGAATTTAATAGAACTGCAAGCACAGGAAAATAAATTGTTAGAAGAGGAGTTGAAGAATTTGAAGACTCTGTAAAGGGCCTAAAATAAGAATTAAAGGAAGGGGAAAGGTAGAGGGTAAGGAGATTGTGAAGGAACAAGTAACTTATTGCAAGCTACTTGTCTCTTGGAGCAGTCTCTTGAAGCAGCCCTCAGGTGTTGAGAATAGAAGTATAGGTTGTGTTAGGTTGGGACATTTAGTTGTTTAGTTGTTAAGAGAATCATAACTCCTTTCTATAGTATTGCTATATTCAAGGTATCTTTTGGTAGTGCTGATGGAATTGGGCCAAAGAATAAGAGTAAGTAGTAGTTTGGAAAAGACTAACTTGTAAGGTTTATCTAGTACATGGAGAGCTGGGTTGGGGTCAGATTAAAGTAAGGTATAGTTCTTAGACAAAAGTCATTGTTGATAGGTCCAAGTACTGCCAAAACACATCAAAATAGTTTAAATTCAAGGAAAAGAAAATTACAAATTATATCAACATCTCTTGGTCAATTAAAACAAAAATATATATTAATAGATAGCTGAGAACCTAGAGACTTTAAAATTCATATTTCTTTGATGAAGTCATTTGTTCTTTAAACAGCCCTCAGTACTTGGTGTAGTCCATTCTAAAAAATAATCTAACTGCCAAGAATTTGTATAGATATACATACAAGAAGATACTTGCTTCCAAAATCACCAATTCCACATCACTACAGTTTATGCAATATTGAACCATATGCTTCAAAAATTGAAATTTTAGAATCAGAACATCTAAAATCATTATTTCAGGAAGAATTAAAACACTACCACTACAGGTAGTTGAGTTATAGTACAGTGAAAAGCAGCAGATTTTATTAGGAGTACCAGGATCCAATACCTAGGAACTACTCTAAGTAGGATAACCCCACTCAGAATCAGAATCTCCAGTCCCTAACAGTCCTCTCTGGCCACCTTACAAGTCCCGCATGTTATCATACATATGTATCTTAGTTGCGTCCTGTGACTATAATGACACAGAATTAAAGATATCAGAATAATACTGTATACATCACTGCCATCTGTCTGACCAGATTGTGTTCACGAGATATATAAGAAGTGACCTTCTGCTAGGTCTAGGAAGTAGAATAGAGTAAATCTGTCAACTACCCAGAGAGTTACTTGAATTCAAAGATGAACATCTCTGGTATGTGCCATAAGTAACAGGATATTTTCATATAAAAATACGATATTGAATATTGGAGAATCTCTATAAAGAGCCAACACATTCTTATTCATGCAACGGTAATTAAGAAAAGTTTAGAACTCTTAGGAGGCTCTACTGAAGAAGCCAATAGACTTTATGGAGTGTTACAATAAGGTTAAGGGATGTGTTGTACAGTCGTGTCTGGAAAGTTTTCGTACCCCTGAGGTGCAACCCCGCAATACCTTATTACCACAACAACCCTCCTCACCATGGCCCCTCCACATAACCTAAGAGTAAGAGAAGACCTGAATAAGGAAATTTATACTCTGTATAAACATACAGATATGGGATATGACAAAACTTTTAAGTCTATAGGTGTATCCAAGTTAACTGTTCAGTCTGTGGTCAAAAGAGCTAAATCTAGAGATGGAAACACTCACCATGCAAAAAGAGGTGGAAGACCAACCAAGATTACTAACATAAAAAGAAAGATAGTGGAGTCAATTGTCGATGCTGAGCCTCATTTAGCGTTACATAACATTACCAAAAAAGCGAATATTGGTCTTGGTAAAACCACTATTGATAAGATCATATCAGAAGCTCATTTTAAGCTTCTGATACCTAGGAAAAAGCCTTTTTGGAGAAAAGGATAAAAGGAGAAAAGAAGGAAGTTTGCTAGGAGAAGGAGGAACTGGAAAGGGGCATGGAATTGGGTTGTTTTTGTGGATGAAGCTACCATTGTTTATGATCCAAATCCAACAGGCAGAAAGATCAGAGTTAGACCTGGTGAAGAGCTAGAAGAAAAAAACTTAAAGCCTAGCTTTAAGTCTGGAAAGACTAGCATTGGAGTATATGCTGCAATGATAAAGGAAGGAAAGACTGAGTTAATTCTTGTGAGAAAGAGAAGGGAGGAGGAAAGGACCAGTAAAAGAGACAGACTTGGCCTAAACTCTCACCAATATGCAACTGAGATCCACCAGCCTTACCTTATCTTTTTTATAGAGGGTCTGGATAGACCTTCTGACAATATTTACCTTGCTGCAGATAATGCTTCCTGGCATGGTAGTGAGGAAAATTGAAAATTGGAAGCAGACTGTGGTTACAAAAAACTCTCTTAGCTACCCAACTTACCAGATCTCAATCCTATTGAGAACACATGGGCACTACTCAAAAGAGCCCTTACCAAGCGATTCTCCAAACTGGAAAGAAGGCCTCATAGTGCAGCTGAATTGTTTGAGGCAGCAAAGGAAGAGTGGGATTTAATTCCCCAAGAGAAGTTGGATGGATAGATAGATAGGATGTCTGAGAGAATGCAAGCTGTACTGGATGCAAATGGAGGCCATACAAAATAGTAATAATGTTTTTTATTGTCTACTAGCAATACTATTATGTTTTCTTTAATTGAATTCTTTACATTTTTTTTGAAATTTTTATGGTTGGGGGTTGTGGTTATGCGGTTGCCATGTGAGGGTACGAAAACTTTCCGGACACGACTGTAGTTGTAGGAATTATCACTAATACCAGATAATAACTAAAGTCCTGCTATCTAGGAAAACTAAGAGCTGCCAGTAAAAAGGTTATCTGTCAATCTAGTAGAATGGCTTTCTGTAAATTGGTAGGAATTTATCAGGAAAATATCCATCAATTGAATTAGAAATTACAGAGGTTTAAATTCAATGAGTTTAGAAGGTTGTATTTATGACTACTCTGGCAGACACAACCCAAGGATGAAACTGATCATTTCATCAATAGAGGAGACAATTAAGGCCAAGCAGTTCAATTTAAGAACTAGGCCACAAGTCTAAGAACTCCGAGGATTGGATAATTACTATTGGGAACAGCAGAGTTTTCCGACTGGCCAAATAGTGAATTATCAGGAAGGATATGATGATTTTCAAAGTCTTCTAGTATTCAAACTTTTGGAGAATGCCCAATATTGCAAGATATAGTTAGAGAGGTACATAATTTGTATTAGAGATAGATGTAGTCCACAAATACTCAAACACTGAATATAAATATCGAAGTGTCTCCTAAACTTTTAGACATCATCAAGTAATGGAGAAGTAATCTTAACAATATAGCAGTGTTCATACAATTCTATTCTATCTTACTTTGCTCTTAGTAGTCATAAATGAAATAAGCAATTCTTTGAGCCTTTCTAAACAATCTCTGTCCACAAAATGAATCTTGATTGGCCTAGACATGCCTGAGTCTATATAGATCATCTCCACCTAACAATTTTGGTGTAAAAGTAGCTATCAACAATGACTTTTGTCACTGATCTGTAGATACTTGTATTAGGTACAGAAATCCTTATAATATCATATTATATAAGTATATAATTGAAAAAGGTGTTTTTTTAAAAAAAAATAAAAAATAAAAAATAAAAAATAAAAAAAAGTATCCAGATGCCTTGGCATCAAGGCATCTGGATATTTTAAAAACTGTAAGTATCATATAGTTCTGGCTACAATAAACCTGCTCATAGCTGGAAAAATTAATTATCTGATTTTAGGTTAAAAGATTACTACTATGAAGAAATCCTTTCTAGATTAGAAATGGAGCCAAACACCTGCTGCATTAAACTATGATTTCAATTTCTGAAAATATAGACTGGGTGCCAGTAACCCTGGTTTTTGAGTTTGAAGTTAGAACACTTTGTATAAGTACCTTAAGTAATGGCTACCTTTAAAATATAAGCAAAAATAGGCTAAGACACATATATTTCAGGGATGAGACATCATACTAGTCCAAATTCGGTCCCATAGTCAAAGCTTTTCTTGGTATTATTTGCACATTTTTACCTTGAAAGGTCTCATAAGTTTTACAGTTTTCTAAGCTTCCTAAGGAGCAGATATTCCTAAGAAACAGAGAATTACTAACGGAATCGCAAAAAAATAAGTATAAATGCCAAGAATACACTTAATCTTGGCAGGATAAACAATGGCCGCATGTACGAGGGGGGGGAAAGAAGTAGTGCGACACAGTAGCAACCGCTTCCCACAAGATTGCAACTCTACTCCCAACCCCCATTACTACAATACTCATTATATCCCCCACCACCTGCCAAACCATTTCAGAAAAGCACTATGAGAGTAAAGAGAACTTACAGAAGTGACAGCACTTTGAGTGGAAAACTACGTGCGATGACTGGATCCGTATTATTGCTCTCCGAGAAATAGCAGAGTGGTCTTTCAAAAAGATAGCTGCTGAATTGGAGGAAAAAATAGGCCTTAAAGTTCACCATAGTACCTGTGCTCGCATCTATCAACAGTATCGGGAAACAGGTAGTCCTTCCAACTACCGGCGAACAGGAAGACCTCCAATCTTCCAGGAGTCTGATCTACTTGATCTAAAGTCTTTTATTAAAGAAAATAAAAGAAATAGAAGACTCTCTTGGGAGGATATTAAAGAAGAGAAGGGATTAAAGGCATCATCCAAGACAATTAGGAAGGCAGCTAAGAGTCTTAATTTAAATAAAAGAAACCCATACAAGAAGTAAGTACTTTAATGAAGATTCAAGTGTTTACATAACTAAAAGATATTTTAGATGGGGATTGCGCCCTAAAAATATACCAATTAGATTTGGTTAGTGTATGAGAAAAAGAGCTTGGAAACTAAGAGACTAGTCCAGAATCATATGGACTGATGAAACCTCATTCTCTACAGTTGGATTTGGGCAGAGAGGATGGATGATAAGAGAACCTTCTGAGGAATATGATCAGGATTGCATTGATGAGGTCTGGGAGTCAGGAAGGGGGACAGTTATGGTATGGGGAGCCTTTTGTAGAGATTTGAGGTCAAAGCTAGTGGTAGTACCAGGAAAGGTTAAAGTGAATTCTTATGAGTATACTAAGTATATTCTGGATCCAGTTTTAATTCCTTTCTGGCATGAGTGTTGTGAGAGATTTTATTGGACTAGGGTTGTTGAAGATGGTGCACCAGGGCATAAAGGATAGGTTGTACCTCCTTATAATTATTGTATTTTCTGATTTTTGATATAGAAATACTTACTTAAGAATATAATCTAACTACTAGTTTAATCACAGATATTCTACAAAGTGTAGAAAAAGGAATGGGGTGGATATATTGCCCTGGCCACCACAGTCACCAGACCTGAACTTAATTGAAAATATTTGGGGAGATATGGAAACTTACTTGGGGAAAAGGTATGGAAGAGTTACAAGCAAGGAAGAGCTAATCAGAGCTGTGGAGGAAGCATGGAAAGCTATTCCTGATGGAAGGTTTATGGATCTTTGCAGAAGTATGCCAAAGCGGGTCAGAGAGGTTATTAGAAGAAAAGGACACCAAACTCATTATTGATTTATGATTTTCTTTTTATTTTACTTTAAGGAAATACTAAGCATTTTTTAATTTTATCTCCTTTACTTATTTTATTTATTGAATGTGGTTGTGGAAAATGGTAGTACTATATGTTATTGATATTATTTCCGTACGGGAATTTGTGTTGCACGGGTGTCGCATTACTTTCTTCCCCCCCCTCGTACAGGTTTATCGCGACCGGAACCATACCTAGGTTGGCGTTGTACCGAAGGTTTGCAAAAGCAGCACATAGAGTACGGTACTCGTACTGTAATTTTAATACGCCAAACTCCGAAACAGCTACCGGTAGAGGAAATTAGCATAAAGACTTGGACTTCTTAGTGAGAGGGAAATTTTGTTTTTGAAAATAATGTTATGGACTTAAGCGCTCTTTTGGGAATATGGATAGTAACGTGAGCAAGAGAAGTTGAGGGGTCTCAGTGTCGCAAAATTGGATCTAATGTTGAGCAGTCCGACACTAGCCAGGCCCGAATTGCCCGTATCACACATTACAATGTCATAATCTTAGCAACAACCAGGGCACTGTGCTCCTCGGTAGTTCTCTTCGCCACCGGGGAGAACTTTGCTAACAGCGAACCCCCCCACACCTCTACCTACAACCGAGATGCCTGACGGACCTTAAAGTACGAGTAGACTTCAGGGCATACCGGTGTTGAATTGGGTGTGGAACCCAAATTTTCAGAACGTAGTAAGGGAAGGGGTCATCTGCTCGGTTGTTCGTCAATTTTCTCGGGATTTCAAACCCCAAAGCGTTATGATAGGACTGGGGGTTGAATAGACGATCGTGCTGGTACTTGTATCATACTCGAGTGTGATAGTTGACTACCGTATCATATCTGGTGATGTGGCTGATGTGGCTTAGTCAGGCTCCAAAATTTCAATGTTCATTTTCTTTCCTTCTCTTCGCCCTGACTCGCTCACGACCTTTTACTCGTAGACACTAAATTTCTCGCAAAACTTCACGATTCCTTGCTGAACCCTCGCAATTTATTCCTTGCTTTTACCTCGCAGTTCTTTTTATCGAGTTTCAAAGTCAGGAAAATCTCTTAATTCAACTTTCTATCATCTCGACATCCCTCATCCACCCCACCTTCCACCCCACCTTCCATTCTTCCATCCCCACAATCATGGCAACTAACGGCGCAGAAGAAAGCATCACGTCTGAGCACGACGAGCATGTTGACAAACTCGGAAACTTTATTACTCAGGATGATGGAGGGAGTCTCGGATCTCCTGGCTTGGATCCGCAGTCGGACGAATCCGATTTTGACGATGCTCCAAAAGAGCTCAAATCTTCCCTGAAGAAACCCACTCAGATCCAAGAGATCGTTGCACCCAGACCACCTCTACCGGCACAACCTGATCCGGAGACTCTAGATCTTTCTGCGCTTTCTCCTCTTTCACCTGAAATTATCTCTCGCCAGGCTACGATAAACATTGGTACCATCGGTCATGTGGCTCACGGGAAGAGCACTGTTGTGAAAGCTATATCTGGGGTTCAGACAGTCAGGTTCAAGAACGAACTTGAGAGAAACATCACTATCAAGCTTGGTTATGCCAATGCAAAGGTCTACAAATGTGATAATCCTGACTGCCCTCGTCCTGGGAATTACCGAAGTTATAAGAGCGATAAGGAAGTCGATCCTCAGTGTGAACGGGAAGGCTGTAGCGGAAAGTACCAACTATTGAGACATGTTTCGTGAGTGCGCCCCTCAATGGAGTTATTGGTATTCGAGTTATGTGCTGACGATGACATTAGCTTCGTTGATTGTCCTGGGCACGACATCCTCATGAGTACTATGTTGTCTGGTGCAGCAGTCATGGACGCCGCTCTCTTGCTGATTGCTGGAAACGAGTCATGTCCCCAGCCGCAGACTTCCGAGCATCTGGCTGCAATAGAGATCATGAAGTTAAACCACATCATTATTCTTCAGAACAAGGTTGACCTTATGCGTGAAGCGTCTGCTGAAGAGCATTACCAATCGATTCTGAAATTCATTCGTGGCACCGTTGCGGACGGTTCTCCAATCATTCCCATTTCGGCCCAGCTGAAGTATAACATTGATGCTATCAACGAGGCCCTTGTATCGAAGATTCCTGTTCCGATCCGAGATTTCACTGCAACGCCCCATATGATCGTTATTAGGTCTTTCGATGTCAACAAACCTGGCGCCGAAATTGATGATTTGAAGGGCGGTGTTGCCGGTGGCTCGATCTTGACGGGTGTGCTAAAACTCGGGGACGAGATTGAGATCAGACCAGGAATTGTCACCAAAACTGAAAAGGGACAAATCCAGTGCAAGCCTATCTTTAGCAGAATTGTTTCACTGTTCGCCGAGAACAATGATTTAAAATTTGCCGTTCCTGGCGGTCTTATTGGTATACCTACCTATATTTACAACCCCCCTCTCTGTTTATAAGTTTTCTAATGAGTGAAATAGGTGTTGGTACCCGCGTCGACCCAACCCTCTGTCGTGCGGATCGCCTCGTTGGATTCGTCCTTGGTCTTAAGGGGCGTTTGCCAAGCATCTACACCGATCTTGAAGTCAATTACTTCTTACTGCGTCGTCTTCTCGGTGTCAAGACTGCAGACGGAAAACAGGCTAAGGTCGCCAAACTTACCAAGAACGAAATTCTTATGGTCAACATTGGATCTACTGCTACCGGTGCAAAGGTTATTGCTGTGAAAGCTGATGTAGCCAAACTTCAATTGACTAGCCCAGCTTGTACTCAGGATGGCGAGAAGATTGCACTGAGTAGGAGAATCGACAAGCATTGGCGGTTGATCGGGTGGGCGACTATCGTCCGTGCGGGACCATCTCTCGATCCGGTCGAAGAATAAGTATTTTATTGGTTAAACGCAATGGTGGGAATACAGATGGGTTGGCGTATTTTCCTTTGTCTTATTGCCCAACTGCCTTTGTTTCATCGGTGTAACGAGCAACATGAGTATGGCTGCGGGATTGCTGAATGCGGCACATTGATACGGTTCTGGCGCTCCTGGAGATGATTGTGATGTGGGGAGAATATACAAAAAGCGTCTTTTCATTTTCTGGGCTTCATTACTTTTCCTTTTCTGCGTGACCTATGATGGCGGGTGGTGGGGCTTAATGGATGGTTATTTATTATTCATTTGATGTCTGTCGGGTGCTTCTAAACTGTATTGACTTCTGTCTTCTTTGGTTCCACGCTCTGCCCTTTGGAATATAGGTTAGAAGCTGAGCGCCTGCTAGGGGGGGACTCCATTCATCCTGTCTTTCGGAGGGTGATGATGCGAACTGCGGGGATGCGGTACGGATGTGGTACTTAGCGTGTGGTTGCACTTGAGTTAGCGGGACCGCGACCACGCAATTCCTATGCCGGTAGTACGAGTAAGCTAGTGTATGGGGTTTTCGGCCACCCGTAGTTTTCGGCCACCTTGGCGCCCCGATAAAGACAAAATAAATTTCAATCTACAGTGTCCATTCAAACATACATTGCTCCATCTGTACCTGTTGTAAGCGCTTTGAAGTTCTTAATGCCTCCTGTTCAGCTGATGGTTCTTTTGCCTTTGCTTGTGCCTTTTTTGCCACAATTCTTGCCTTCTCAACTTCTATCTTCACTCTTGCCTCCTCCGCCTCATCAAGTGACCGTTTGATAGCATCTAAATCCACAAACACCATATTAGGATTTAAAGTTACCTTCTTCTTCTTCTTCTTACTCTCCAACTCTGCTATCTGGTGCTGTAAGCGTCGGTTGACGGCTAATATCTTAGCATGTTCACCAGTAAGTTCACCAAGAGCCTTTCCTGCCTTCTGTAGAACTGTTCTTTGATCGCGAGACAATGGTCCAAGTCTTTTGATTGACTCATGAATTTCCCGGGGGTGTTTAGAAGTTCAGAGAAGGGGGTTGTCATCAGTAACCCGTTTTCGCTTGGGTGTTGAAGGTACTTGTAGGCTTGTAGGATGAGAATCTGGTGAGTCTCGGGACTGGAAGGATGTAATTTGATGAATTTGGGACGAATTTAGAGTTTTGCTTAGATTTCAAGGAAAGATGCCAGTGGCGGACCATCCAGAACGGAGGTTGCGTGAGGTAAATGTTTCTTCCTGTGCCTTTTGGTAGGCTTGAATCAATCAATGCTTTTTAATGGTAGCAGCATCATCCAAATGAGCTAGATCTCCAATTTCACGGCAGTATCGTGACTTTAACGGTGAAAAGGTACCAAGATCAAGGGGTTGTAAAACATGGCTTGAATGGGGAGGTAGGTAGAGTATATCAATGTGGTTTTCTCGACAGATCCACATGAATTCAACAGTAGCATGACTGCCATACCCATCTAGAATTAAAATTCTATGCGCAACTTTTCCATCAGATTTGACTCTTTTCATTTCCGGTAAAAAAACCTCCTTTAACCAGCGCAAACCAATTGAATTTGAGGTCCAGCCTTTTGATGTTGTGGTTATAAGCCAATCCGGTATATTGTCTGCCATAAACTATGAAGTTTGAACTTCCTTGCCCTTGAACAGCACAGGTGGACGAATAAAATGACCTAAACCACTAATTGCTTCCAGAACAGATACCCATTCCCGGTTTTCCGGTGACTGAATATATGTTTTTCGCTTTCCACTTTCTCCGAGTACTATCCTATTACTGCAAACACCCAGAGCAATACCATGCTCATCCATGTTGCATATATCAGCCTGTTGTGTATTATGGCGTGCTCGCAGAGTATCAAATCGCTCGTAGAAGTCCTGGATTTGCTGTGGCTGTGTTCTTTGGATTCGTGCTGCCTCGATTGGCTTTCCGATAATACTCGCAATTTGAGGATTACACTTTCAAAAGGTTGAAACCTATTTTTTCCCTAATGGTTCTGTATTACCAGAAACTGATAGCATCAGACTTGCCATCTCTCTAGTCCGACCATGCGAAGGGGCATAACTGCATTCCTCCTGTGCCAAAATCCAGCTACACAGAGCTTTTTCTTGATCGGAGAGAGGCACTGTTGGTGATGGTGTCCAATCTGTGATGAGGTTCCTCCGGCATGGTGACTCTGTAGGGTTGTGCGTGAAATACCATAGTCCTTTGCTGCCTTTCTTTCTGAACTGCCATTCTCGATTGCATTTAAGGCTAGAGTGATCATTTGTTCGCGTGTTGTCATCTTGTCGTTGTGGTGTTGTTACTTGATAATCACAGGTTTGGTGGTATTTGGTGGTTGTCACGCTGGCCCAAAACTACGGGTGGCCGAAAACCCCATACACTAGCTTAGTATGTGGGGAGGCATCCATTTTGAAAAGTAGAGAGTATGATGGCGGTATCATACGAAGTTGACCCCTGGTAACATTTTTTCAATTGACCATTATGCATCGAGGACTGATCTCCTTAATTGGTGTGATATTTATTGCCCTTTTAAGCTGTGATATGACACATCACTGTTCAAGGGGAGATCTATGGTGTTTTTTTTGCGGAGAATCGGTGGAATTACCGACCGGAGCGGCCTTACAGGTATACTCTGCTTGTAAGATACTCGTAGGCAAATCATAGCCATCGTTTTAGGAAGGGCGATCTGAAAGGACTTGGTTGAGTAGAGCGACTGGCGCAACTTTTCTTTATCGATTTTGGTATATCATACGAAGCGAGCGTTGATCACAATGGACAGGCACGGGGAACTTCAAGTGATGGGCGTTGAGCATCGTCAAAGTTTTACAGCAACGGTGGGTACTGGAATTTGGCGTAGTGGGTGGTGTTATAATTATAATATCATACAGGTAATTGTGATTAGGGACCTAACCCGAATACTGTAAGGGGTGAGATGAGTTCTTGAATTCCTTACGAGCACTCGAGTAGTCTACCTATCGGGGGGCTAGACTATTACATTGCTGCTATGATACATGAGTTGACTTATATCATAGCAGTAGGTTATCGGCATCCCCACAAGTTCGTGTTTTCGGAAGCTGGTGATCAAACTCCATCGGCCCTTTCGACGCATCGGGGTCACACCTCAGAATGCTATACGGCAGGTCCTCGAGTGTTGCACAGCACTGGAGCCCCGTTTTCTTGATCCTGTCCACTCAACGCCTTTTCAATTGTGCGCGTACACTTTGTCCACAAAGTCCCGGCAGTCTTCAACTAGAGGATTGCGGAATCTTCTTACTGGGAAAAGAATATGGATATCCTCTGTGGGATCTGCCGTTACCAGATTAAGAAGGATTAAGTCTCCCCGAAAGAAAGGGTCGTCACCGTCCCGCTATCAAAGGGTTGGAGTTGTCGGGGTGTCCTGGGTGTCGTGGGAGATTTGCGGATTCTGGTGTGCTTACTAATTTAACAAAAGCATCATTACCAGATGAGGCAATTGATCACCTTACCCCACATATCGGTATCTCGTATTAAATTTACCAGTAGATTGAACTCGGGAAATTATTTGTACGCCCTGATCCTCCAACTTATCCTGCTGCTATCCTCAGACCCAGCCGGGGGTTGTTGGAGTCATTCCAATTATGATCATGTGTAATATGATACGAAAATTGATTTATGCGGGACCCGGTTGATCGAGGGTCCCGTACCACGGAACGGATGTGGGGGCTCATCGCAAATACTGTACAGTGTGACCATCATGCTGGCCCGACCAATCCCCGAAACAACCCCCATATACCGGGGTACGGGGATTAAACGCCGGTTTTCTACTATATCGAGACATATCTTTCGTCGGTAATGTGAGGCGGTGGGTTTGTCTACGCTTCGCGAGGGGTGCATACCGCGCTCAAATCCTTGTCCACGATCGCTATACAATTCCCGACAAGGCAGGAGGAAAGCCCTGTGGAACTTTCTCTCCACCCCGCGGTTGCTGCGAGGAATGCTCGTGAAACTCGTAGACTTGTCTTCTACAGCCTTTTTCCTACCATTGAGGGAGGTTTGCGTCAAATGGGGCTCCGAGTAAGGTGGTATCATGGGCAGCTGAGTGCTACTCTGGACCTTACTTTACGATTGTTCGTGATGGCCCTGCGGTGTTGGGGGAAGGATATAACACCTTCGTGGTCGTCGTGGAGATTCTTACTCTCTCCTCACTCTGCTTGTTCAGGTAGAACAGTGCTCTTCTTATCTTTTTGAGAAAGAGTTCCCGCGAATATGTCTCTCATTCGAGTTATCCCCTCACTTCCCGGGGGTTCGGCCGCTGGGCTGATCCTACTGGTACTATCAGTGGGAATTCTTGCGCAGCGACTCTTCAAGAAAAAGGACCCTTTACCACTTCCACCTGGGCCACCGGGTCTTCCGATAGTTGGAAACAGTTTTCAAATTCCTCTAATCAACCCGTGGCAAAAACAGGCCGAGTGGACTAAGAAATATGGGTCCATCTACAAACTCAAGCTTGGCAAGGACACGGTCATTGTATTGGGGACACAGCAGGCAGCAAAAGATTTGCTGGAGAAGAGGTCGAAGATTTACTCTTCCAGGTTCGTGGATCTCCGAAAAAGCTTTTTTACCCGAAAGGTTTATCCTCTTCCCTTGCGGAAACTCACTCGCCTCGCGAACGGATTTATTTGAATTGCATGGATTAGGCTAACCACGACATAGACCGAGGACTGTTATGGCGGGTGAAAATGTTTCTAGAGGCAAGAAATTATTAGCCCATCTCATGTGGAAATAGTTTTAATGAAATATAGGATTGAGAATCGCGCTTCTGCAAAGAGGGGACAAGTGGAGAGTGCACCGTCGTCTTCAGGGACAGGTCATTAACCAGAACATCACAAACAAATACAAGGGATTCCAGAATCTTGAGAGTGCACAATTGATCAAAGAACTTGCCGACCGCCCTGAGGACTTCTTCGACAGCTTCCACAGGTCAGTCATGCCATCCTTGGCCTAGTGAACCCACCCCTAACGCGCTCATCAGGTATAACTCATCCGTCATTTTCGCTATGGCCTATGGAAAACGTATGCCCCGCGGTGACGAGGAGGATGTTGTGGCTGTCGACGAAATCACTCAGAACTTCCTCTACTCTGCCCGTCTCGGAACCTGGATTGTCGATTCGTTTCCATTCTTGAACTATCTCCCAACTTCCATGGCCCCCTGGAAGCGCATCGGCGATAACTTCTATAACTGGGCTGAAAAGATGCACACCTTCAACCGAAATGAAGCTCTCCAACGCAAAGGCTGGAATTGGACCAAGGAAATCGCAAGAATGAAGGAAGCGCAGAACGTTTCTCCTCTAGAACTCGCCTTCATGGTCGGTTTCTTATACGAGGCCGGCAGTGACTCCACCACCATCGCCCTGGAAGTTTTCATCCTTGCCCTCCTCAAGCACCCTGAAGTCCTGAAGCGCGCGCAGGAAGAGATCGACCGCGTTGTTGGCCCCGATCGTCTCCCAGCTTTCGAGGACAGAGACAACCTCCCATACGTCCGTAACTGCGTTAATGAAGTCCTCCGCTGGCGCTCACCCTCAGTCGGAGGTGTCCCTCACATGGTAGAAGAAGATGATGAGTACATGGGTTACCGTATTCCAAAGGGTGCAATCGTAGTCGGTAATCTCTGGAGTATCCACCAAGACCCCGAAGTCTACCCCAACCCGACAAAATTCATGCCTGAGAGATGGGACGACGAAGAGAACGTACACTACGGTTTCGGGTTTGGGCGGCGAGCCTGCCCAGGAAGGCATATTGCCATCAACAGTCTGTTTATTAACTGTGCTAGGATTATTTGGGGATTCAATGTCGAGCATGCGAAGAATTCCGACGGCACCGTGATCCCTGTGGATGAGTGGGATATGACCCAAGGTTTCATGAGCCGGCCGGTTAGGTATAAGGCCTCCATAACGCCGAGGGATGCTAAAAGAGTGGAGGTCATTAACCAGGCGTGGAAGGCAGCAGAAGTGCAGCTGCAGGATATGAGTAAGATTTTGAGAATGGAGGACTTTTAAAATGGTGGGGATTGGGTTTTGAACTTAGTAATTCGGGAGGTCGTTTTTGTTATATTATTCACCTTTTTTTTTTTTTTCTTTCCCCTTTCCAAGTATGTAACGGTAGGACAGAGGTAGTCCAACTCGTGCGAGAATTCATGATCGGAGAACCCCTGCACAATTCCCCTATCTGGATGTGGGACCCTGAGCACCATGCTGTTTTCATACCACCAACATCGAAGCCAACCCTATCCTGTGGATCCTAAAAACCTTATACCAACATCACGGTATTTTAGACTCCCTTAATCACCAATAATCACTCGGCCCAGCCGACCGCTATGCGATTCCAACCCACTAATGGGCTTAGAGAACCCAAGGAGGTGGTTAGGGTAAAAGCCTCACCGGTCCATTCCTAGAGCAGTAGAGATAAGGCCATACGGGCCATTTATAATCCATTCGCAAAACTCCTTTGTTCTGGATCGATCGCGTATGTACCCCAATCCAGGAACGAAGGGAACAAAGAATTCAGGCGAGCAGGTGATTTCTTCAACGACGGGTCGCCGTACCAGTCGCACCCCGTTGTCCCGGATGAAATTCTCTGAGCTCTAAATTTTTTGCACCAGAACGTACCCCGTTGTCCCGGATAATCCGCTGTCCCGGACTGGTTCTGCGGATTTTAGCCATCCGGGACATCGTGGTGCGACTGTACTTTGCACTTGTTGTCATGGTGTCTGGAGTGCAGTGTGGTTTTAGTACCTATGGGTAGCCATCCATCCAGATATATGGCGCAGAAGGCCAATCTTTTATAGTGATCCAGATCGTCGAGAATGCTCAGTGCTCATGTGGGGGAAGTGAGAGGGAAAGCTTCTAGTGATCCATGGATGAAGTATCATATACCAGACTAATACATCATACGTAGCAAGATGAGATCCGAGTGATCTCACCCAACTTTGCAATGGAGGGCACGAGGACAATCTAGCCCGATATCCGAAAATCACCTCTACACACGTAACCCGGACTTTCCACGCTAAGGACATAGCATAAATACCGGCTGATCCTGCCTCCTCTTTCCTTTCTTCCCTTCTTTTCTTTCATCTGCATCCACATCTTCGCACACATCTCTGCCTATATCCATCTCCATCAACCCCCAGATCATTTCTACACCCCCCCACCTTCACTCACATTACCCACTGGAGATATCCAGTTTATATAAAGCAATTGGCTTTATAAACAATTCTCTTAATTGAGAATTATCTATACCAACTGTGCTTAAAAGGTAAGTACCTAAAAATTATTTATTGATAGTACTATAATCTGATAGTGCATTGCTTAAGGAATATCACCTTCTAGTACATGGTAAGTACTCAATAGGAGCATTTAGGAACTAGAACTCACCTCTTCTATAAGACAGGTAATAGATATAAAGATGTGAAGAATCTTCCCTTGAGAATATTACCCATAAGGGCGACACTCAGGGGAAGATTCTTCAGTACCTAAATCATGGCCTGGTAAGTTAGCTCTCTTATAATTATAAGTATTATATCTACATAATATGAAAAAAAAAATGAAAAATCTTTCTAATTTATATTATACATGAATTAGAAATTCAGATTTCTTGTCAACTCAGGAATCTAAGGAGTTAATAGCAGGAAACTCTGCCTGAGGATGTTGCCATTATTGGTAGCACTCAGGTAGAGTTCCTGCTATTCTCCTGTCCTGCCCTGAAAGTTCATTTGAACTGTTAATAATCTAGTTAGTAAGTCAACTTACCTGTAACTACAAGTACTTTTTTTACTATCTTATAATTAAACTAACTTAAAGAAATTAAATTTTCTAAAGCACTCTTAAACTCAACATTTCTACTACCAAGAAGTAGTATGTTAGTAGCTCTGGTAGTACTAACTACTACTAATATATTACTTGAAATATAATATCAGGTGGTTGGATTGTAAGTTAACACTCCTGAAATCATATACTTTAAGTTTACAGTATTGTAGTAAAACTAATATAATAAGTTTTGATTTTATATAGTAATTTTATTACAACGTCATCGATTATCCAACAGGTGTAGAAATGGTACAGGCCATCATTTCTATTTACACCAGTAGGTCGGTTGGTAAGTTAGCTCTGTTAAAATTAAAGACTTAAGTTTACTCAATTAGTTTTATTATAGAGACTAATATTTTGATTTTCTATAGTACTCAAGATACTATGAATAACTCAACATCTAAGTCCAACTTGTACTATAATAATAGTATATATATTATAACAATTAATTTAAAATACTAGATACATTTTTTTAGAATTATTATTCTATAGTAGAGTTCTAGTTTCTAATAATATATGGTACCAATTGATTAAATTTAATATAAAACTGTAAAAAACTATAAAATTCAATAAACTACAGTATAACTATTTTAGATAATGGAGGTTATTTGTCTACTAGAGTAATAGATGAGTTTAGTTAAATAGATTTAATAAATAAATCTTTCTTTTCATTCTGATATTTATCTTTAATGTTTATAGAATTTATATAAAATCTGATATGATAACTTGAAATTAACAACCTATAAATATGTCAAAATCCCATAGAATTTAAAGGGTCTTGGCATGAGTGATATCCTATAGAGAAATATAAAGTATCTTAGTGTCACAAATGTGGCTTGGCAAGGAAAAGGTTTTCACATAACGCATAATTATGAGTCATAGGTATGTTATGGTTTTGCGCATATGTCACATTTGGGTCATATGATGTTATGGATTGATAAGTTTCGCACATGACTCAAATATGAGTCATGGGAAGTGTTCCTGGTGAATATGCCTTGCAAGTGTGCCTTGCAAGTATGCCTTGTACATATGATTTATATTTAGCACATGACCTCATTATGAGGTCATGGGTTTTGCGCTTGTGACTCATTCGAGTCATATGACTTGTTTATTGTATTATAATTGGTTTATGAGTTTTCACACATGACCTTACTACGAGGTCATGGGTTTTGAGCATGTGACCACTTCGGTCATATGACTAGCTTGTTATGATTTGATTTTGCACATGTGACCACTTTAGGTCACATGACTATGGACGGGAAGAACACTATATAAGGAGGCTGGTATGGCCGAGGAGGATAGGTTCTTCACGCTTTGTTCTAAGTACTTTTCCTTGTCCTTGCCATCGCTTCGCCCCGAGCGTTTCTTTCACACCCATGGTGGACCTTAATGCCTTAGGTTCTGGGGGAGATATCTGAGTTCGCTCAGTAGTTCCTGGGGTTCTTGGTATTGAGGTCTATTGGCGTCGCGTGGTGGATTACTTGTTTGCTTCTCGTTTCATTGCCTGATGGTTTCTCACGATGCTGTCACTTCAAGCACTTCATTACAGTCGCTTATGAGCCCCTTTCGGTAAAATGTCTTCGGTTTCCTGTCTATCGTCTACTCGCAGGTTTCGCGTTCAATTGGGGGAAATTAAACATTGTGTTTGGGGAGATCACCCGTGTGGTTCTCTGGGACAGCTCATATTTCTTGTTGAGTTTTAATGGAGTCCTTAGTTCTCACGATACAAAACGCTCTTGGGTTGAACTGATGATCTTTCTAAGTATCAACTCGTTGTACCAGCTGCATCACTCCTCAGGTGGCAGGGCAGTACCCGTCCAGCCCCTCCTTGTTACGTTTTCGTTTTTACAGTCGGAATCCTATGATGTTGTTTATTGCCATTCCCTTGGAGTTTTGTCCTTGCGGCATTTACGGTGATTCATTCAGGTGTCTCCTCCTCACCTCGGTGGAGATGGCTTTGACCCTGAAAAATCTTACACCCTGGTGTGGTTATTGTTGCTGCCTAGGATGGTGTGGGACGATTGGCTGCCAGACACTCACATTGTCTGAGTGCTTGGGTGATTCGGTTGCGGATTGTGGTTGGTGGCTTTACCTATTACAAGTGGGACCTATCTTCTGTTTATCTGCTCCTGTTCTTGCATCCTCCCCCTTCATGTCACGTCAGTTGGAAGTGCCTCTTGCCTGTTGTTCAGTCTGTGCTTGTCACCAGACCTGTGGAGCTGGCTTCAGCTGGCTCTGCTTACTCTTTCCCTGCTTGGTTGGACTTCAGTTCAGCTGAGTTGGATGGTATGGCTGGTGCCGGTGCCTTTGAGTGTTGGTACTGCCTTCATTGTGACTCCCGGCTGTAGCTGGTGGGTCCCCCTCAGCTGCAAGGGGCTGGGGGTTGGGGCTCTGCTAGTGTGACCAAGACCAGTGGCTACCTGGTAGGGCTAGGTATGGGCTGTCCTGTGGATATTGGATGATTGACCAGTCTGAGGGGCTGGGGGGCTGGATGGGCTCTGTAGTATCTGGCGTGTAGGGCTTGGGGGGGGCTGATTGAAAGAGGAGAGGCACCTATAAGCACCGGTTGGGCCTGTGTCAGGCTGGGCGAGGTATAATTAATTATTTCCAGTCCGGCTTGGGCTGTTGGGTGAAGCTGCTGAGTGCTGTAAAGCTCCTCAATGGACCAGCTGGTTGATGGCCACCTGTGCAGATAGTGGGTTGCGACCACCTAATTGGACTTGTTTGGATCTTGTACGTTGGGTTTTGTGGGGTTTGTTCGGTTTCTTTGGTTTGGCTACGGGTTTGGCGGGAGGAGGCATGGCACCATGGGTGGAAGATAGGCCCTACTGACCTTTTTGGTCTGTTACTACCTCTATGTATTTTGTTTGTATGTTGTTTTAGTTGGAGGACAGGCAGCGGGTACAGGTCCTCCACACCTGTAGACTCTTTGGAGGCAACCGGTAAAGTGGGTTCATAGGATCGACGGCCTGGTATGCGGGTACGAGAGGTTGATATATAGGTTGCCTCATCCCTGCCATTGTATCGCCTGTAGGATTAGTTTGTGTTTTGTTGGTTTTATATTATGGTAGAGGTTTTGCGGGATGGTTTTCAGACCGGGTTGTAGTGATTTTTTGTTTGTTGGACGAGGAACCTAGTTGGATTGGTCTTTGGCTCAGCTTCTGCTACGCTTAGTGCTAGTTGGTGTCATACCAGAGGGGCTACAGACTTGGACCAGGTCAGGCACTGAGTTGTTTGATGGTCTTGTAATTAGTTCTCATGCGGGCATGACTCAGAGATAGCAGGTGCAGGGCCGTAGACTTAGTTAGCTTAGAATTAGTAGTATACCAGTTAGCGGTATCCCTGTGCTGGCGAGGGCTCATCGTATGCCAGTATTGGTAGTACGAGTTTAAATAAAATTTGATTGAATTCTAAGTACTTTTCCTACTTATTACTTTAACAAATATAAAACACCTTTACGATCTTTATCTTTATTGCAACCTTTATCCTTACGCCAAGGAAAGCTCTTCATGAAGAAGAGTTAGAGAAGACTTACAATAGGCATTCCCGATAGAAGACAAAGGTCTTGTACTATCAGTAACATAGGCAGAGGCCTAGTGCTATTGTAGGACTAAGGAAAGAAATAGGAGAAGAAGAGAAGTATCGTTCCCCGTCGCCAAGAACTAACTATCCGAGGAGGGATTGTTACACTTAGTATAGTATATGTACCAGTTTATCTCAGAGTTATTGACTTCTGTTAAGCTTCAAACAATTACCACCCCAGTACCTTGTATTACACTACCTTATTCTTTATATAAATTAACTAAAATTTATATACTTTCTACTCTTTTCATGCTAGTATATTAAAGGAATAAATTTTCAAAGTACAATCTATAACATATAATACAGTACTCTATACTACTACATTCTCCCACTATCTTCCCTTCTTTCATACAGCACCCCACATTTGCTCCACCACACAGCCACTGGTGCTAATATACAAAGTAGAAAGGTACAAGTCTGAGAAAATAGATCTGAACAAAAACGCTAGAAAAACATAGTTTAAACTAAGAGAACTTGGCAATTAAGTTTAAGCAGTATGTATCGTAGTGCGCGACTACCCCGCGCGGGAGATCGCGGGAGGTTGATGACTTCTAGTTGTAAGGATGGATCCAAGTCAGGGTCGATACCATACAGTCCGCTCGAAGCAATTGTAGTTGTGTATGGCTTGAGAAGGAGAAAGGAAGCTCGATCGTCAACTGCACCTAGTCTACAAGTGGTGTGTCGCCGATCAAGGGAGTAAGAAGGGGAAAGGAGAGGCTAAACGAAACGAAAGGCCCGGTTCCACAATATATGCAAAACACAGGAAGAAAGAAAACAGAACGAGATGGCAAATAAGAAAGCGGCGTACCATAGTTGAATAAAGCATGGTCGTGAAGCTGAGGGAAGGACGGAGAAGAGATGAGAAAGAGTCGAGTGAAATCTAACGACAACAAGTATAGTAGTAGCGAAGAAAAGCCAAGTAGTGAAAGAAACCAGTTACCATACGGAAAGGAACCAAAACCCAATAAAACTCCGAGTGACATCTCATGACCATCACTCAGATCACCCCAGAAGAACAGGTGTATTTTGTTACCGCTAAGTTACAGGAAGGCCCCTATCCCGTCCTTCCAAATCCCAAACATCTCTATAACATAAGAATTACCACCCAATCTCCAATTCCAGCTCACAACAAGTCACGCTTTACAAATTGTTCGTAAAGACTCTTTCCGAGGGAGGCGGGGCTACGCTCGACAATGGCGCCAGCATCCTCGAGTGCCGAGATCTTAGACTCGGCCCCTCCCTTGCCGCCGCTGACGATGGCACCTAGAAGGAGTATTTAGTCAGGCCATTGAATGGGGAAGAAAGAAAGAAGGGGAAAGCATACCGGCGTGCCCCATCCGCCTCCCTGGTGGCGCGGAGATGCCGGCGATGAATGATACGATGGGCTTGTTTTTGGGGTTGTTGGCTTTCAGGTAATCCGCAGCATCTTCTTCTGCGGAACCTCCGATTTCACCGATCATGATGATTCCTACTGCCTGTTAGAATCGCCCAAATGTAAACTATCTATAAAGCAATACCATCGGTTTCATCATCTCCCAAGAAAACACTCAAGGCATCAGTGAAAGAGGTTCCGGAGAATGGATCACCTCCGATACTAAATTTCGTAGTTAGTCTTCGTCATGCCCGCTCAAAGGGGAGATGTGCACCCAATAACCAAGCTTTGGCCAAGTCCAACCTGAGTAGTTTGGTTTACAGCCTCGTAGGTTAGAGTTCCAGATCTAGAGACAACACCGATCCTGCCTCTCTTGTGGATGAAACCCGGCATAATACCAATCTTGCACTGGCCTGGGGACTACAACACTATCAGAAAAGGTCCTCCCTTCTGAAACATCGGGGTTAAGTAAATGTACAATGATTCCGGGGCAGTTCGGTCCCACTAATCTATCCCACCATCAGCTTTGCTTCTTCCTCGCTGCAAGGCACACAACGAACCTGGTCTTGTTCTGCGTCTTCAACATATCCACAACCCGGACCATGTCATTCTGAGGAATCCCCTCAGTGATACTAACCCCTATCAATACCATCCCAAGCACAAAACTCAAAAGGCCCATTCAAACACTCACCAAACAACAAGCTTGATCTCCGCCTCGATGGCCTCCTCGATAGACTTTGCCGCGACCGGAGGTGGAACGAATATAGCGCTAGCATCGGCTACTCCGGAATCAACCCCCTGACCCCATAACACTAGCAGTAATCTTGAAAGAAAAAAAACATACCTCCGACCTTGCTGATAGCATCCTTCACAGTACCAAAAACCGGACGATCCAAATGCTGGCTTCCGGCCTTCCTCGGACTAATCCCGCCAACAACATTCGTACCATACTCAATCGCCTGTTGCGCATGGAACCTAAAAACACCCCACCTCCCACCTCCGTTAACTACGCCTCTTACACACACATGCATGACTTCTACCATCACTATTGTATCCACCTGAGGATTAAACATACGTTCCCTGTTTTCCGGTAAATCCTATACACAACACTTCAGCAGAGTCCTCCTCATTCTTTCCACCAGCCCCTGCTTTCGGTCGCAGATGCACAAACCTTGAAAGATAACCTTAGTATCAGCGTTAATGAGCAAATTCTTCGCAGTAGAAGCGTAGCCGGAGGAGGTCGAATACCCGCGAGTCACGGAGGCTACACGGAAGGTTGATAGACGCTTCAGAGCGAGCATTGTCGGTCGGCGAAGCGAAAGAGGGAGCAATGGGAAAAAATGAATGAGAGGGGACGTTGTTGTTAGTGGGGGGTTGGTGATCCCTTTTCGTGTTTCCCCTTGCACAGCAAGGTGACCGAGGAGTCCCGGGAATGGATGCGAGATGGAAAAGAGTTGCTGGCTTGGCGGTGCGGGCAGCTAGCAGCGAATTCTGGTGGAAGATTGGCGGTTCAAGCACCATTTGGGTCGGGCTCAACGCCGCCTATTTCAAGACCAAAACTAACCCCCGCCTTTGATGTCAGAAAATGGATCGGAATGGCGTCGGGTGGGGAGGGAAATTAGACCCCCGAACCAATTACCGCACTTGGAAACGACCTGGAATACCTAGACCACGTACTGGAGTGGAGCTATCATAGAAACAGCGCAGTGCAAATAACACAAACAAGAGCTGCGGAGATGTTGGGAAATACTACAGCCCAAGCTTCCTACAAGCACCTTACACCAACCCAAACGTTGTGCAACTACAAAACCCATCACTGATAATGAGGCTGTTCCATAGCTCGTTAGATCATGATTGCATCTGGACTTGTACTCGAGTACATTAAACAACCAGAGCCGGAGAGATCAACGCGCATCAGATATCAACAGGGTCATTCAATCCGCGATTAAAGTTTCTACATTCAACAATAACGCGAACCATCTATGCACAGAACCCTAAATCTGCACAACCTCTACACCGTTCTCCGTAACAGCTTTTACCGTCAATCCCTTGAAGTCTATCGGCAACCTCTTGATCAACTATACCCATATGTTAACAAAAATCTGGCCACCAAACCAAACAGCAACGACGGATACGGACCTCATCGTGACACATCCTCATCAACTTAATTCCCTCTTCCAAGGTGATGTCAGGGTGGTGATGCTTATCCAGAATCGACAGACAATAGTACTGAGCATATCCATGAGCAGCATAAGGTACGGCCGCGGATGATGCTAGGTAGTCCAGCCAGTAGAGATGAGGTTTCCCAGTAGTACAGTCGAATCCTCCGATAAGAAGGTTAACGTAGTAGGGGTTCTATCCATCCAAGTCAGCAACCCAAAATCCTAAACCGTAAGGAAAGAATCTATATGATACCCGGCTCCTCAAACTCTTCGCAAGCTGGCGCCTCACAAAGCTAGCAACAGCACTAGGAGACAGTTGCCATTTAGAGTTATTCCTCATCCCATACAACTGCACATTGGCTTGAATATATTCCGCAAATTGAACTATTCACACCCACACACACCCCAGTATTCATCAGCTTATTCCACCAACCAATCCAACTCCAGTGTCCCGATTTCCATCGATGGAACATACCAGTATCTCCCGCCTCTCCCGAGAACGCCATCAGAGTGTGTGGGTTTAAGGTCCTGGTTTTATCATCTTCTGCTTTGAGAATGGTCACCCCACGCATAGCAGCATTGGATGCAGCAAGTAGGACGAAGTCTTTCCCGGTGATTCCCAAAAGAACTTCCCTGTAACAGATATTAGCGATATATAACTGATAGGGGAGAGCCGGGGGATAAGTACATGTTCTAGGTATTGGATGGAGAGATTAATGAAGTTGATGGAGGACAGTTTTTAGTGGGGCAGGCGAGGGGTTTGGGTTTGAGCAATGGTGTTCGCCGTCGAGCTCATAGAATACCGGTAGCCAAAATCACGTGGGGTGGAAGTAGAGTACTGGTGCTGAGATGGCGTGGTGTAAGCGTATTTGTTAGAACGCCAAGAATTTATTCAGGCTGAACTTCAACGGATACTGGCAGTCCATATCGGAGACCCAATCGCCATCCTGAAGAACTTCTGTTCTCAGGGATCTCAAAATAAAATGAATTCCAAAGCCAAATCCAAGCCCGCTGATACTATAGCTAACTTAGAGGTGGTGTCTTCATCTTAATACGCCAACAACCAATCATAATTCCAAGAGAGCAAAAACGCACGGCCCGAGTGAAATTCCGTGAAGGTACCGGTAACCTAAATCCAAGAAGCTAACAAACACCAACCGAATACCGTAACCACTTTTCACAATTACAATTTTAAAAAACTACTTTTTGTACCCCCCCCCTTATCCTTGACTAAATTGCCATCCACATCCCGTTTCTCGCCGCCCTCTCCAATAACCTTAACACGACCCTTCCTAAGGCTGTTCCTAACGTCCTTCCTGCTTCCCTCTTTGACCTCCCCACCTTTATTCCCTTCGCCTAGATTCCGTTTCTTGATTTTCTCCTTCTCCCTCCTTCTCCGTCTCTGCTTATCCTCCCTAGTCATTTCTCTTGTTGAAACCGGAGCTCCGCTCTTGCCCACAATCTCTCTACCGCCGCCTTCGCCGATGGTTGCTACCGCCCTGCCTTTCTGGGGAGCATAGACTTCCTGTGGTGCGAGCATAGAAATGTTGGCGGCTAGGGCACCACCATCAACAGCACTTGGTTGAGCCTCCTCCATGGAGATAGCAGGAGCATCAACAACGATAGAAATGGCAGGCTTGGGAGGTTTGGGGGTGAAGTGCCAGCTGCTAAGGGCATCGAGTTTTCGAGAAACATCAGAGAAAAGTTCCCCAATTTCCCGGTGAGCTTCCGCCAATTTCTCATCCTTAATATCCGGGTTGTTTTCGGGGTCAATCTTTTGAAGGTGTTCCCTTTCGTAAATCTCTGCTAGGCCTTGCTGGGGTTTGGAATCGTCCAACTCAATTCTGCCTCTGCGGAAGCGAGATGAGATGTCATCAGGTCGTCTTCGGATCACTTCATCAAAATCAGAAGCGATGATTCTTCGCTTGATCATCTCCTCCAAATCCTCCGTGACTTCCTGGGTGATCACGGGGACCGGTTTTCCAGCCCGTTCAAAGTCCAAATCCTCCTCCAGGAGCGAGTTAAGAGGTCTAGTTGTAGATCTAGCTTCTCCGGCAAGAGTCCACTGCTTTTTTGCAACGTTCGCAGCTTCGAGTTGACGGATTTGTTCGATAATAGTAGCCTGGCGTTTCTCGTGTGTTGACCGATGACTTATGGGATTCGCTAGGTCATCATCCATATCAAAATCCGAGCCTTCTTCTGACACGTCATCATCGAACAGATCACGGCGTACCCGGGCCATCTCAGACTCAATATTAGAACCCTCTCTCTCCAATTCCTCTTCCAACCTTTTAGTCCGTTGGTTCCAAGGTTTCGACACTTTTGAAAGACGCTTCTTGGATCCCTTTTTGGCGGGTGGGGCAAAGAAGTCTTGGTACATTATCCCGTTCGAATTATCGTAGCTGTCATGCAGGTCCCCGTCTTCCTCATCGTAGTCGTCGTTCCCAACAGTGACAATCCCACCTTCGTCTTCAACTTCGTCATTGTCGGCCAATTGGTCTGGGTCGGCGTCATAGTCAATCTCCTCCTCATCAGACCCAAGCTCCCCACGTTCATCCTGCATTTCGAGCAATCGAGTTTGACGGTTGAAGTCATCAATTGAGAAGAAACCATCATTGAGCCCGTGAACATCTTGAACAAACTCCTCCCCCCCCTCCTCTGAGTCTTCCTCGATGCCCTCCTCGTCGTCGTCATCATCGGGGAGGGCAATTCCACCATCCTCATCCATAGGCTCTTCGTATTCCTCCTCGCCTAGGTCTTCATCGTCATCTACTTCCTCATCCTCTTCACTATCACTCTGACTACTGGTTCCACTAGCACTGTCGATATCCTCCTCAAACGCAACAGCCTTCCTCTTCTTCCCATTTGCCAACTCCCCACCTTTCGCATCACCATTAACACCCCAGGAAACGCCCTTGCCCTCACCAACCCCGCTTTCAACAGCGTCCACAACAAGCCTCGCCTGTTCCCAGACCTGATCAACATCGAATCCATCCAGATAAATTTTCTCCAGAACCTCACTTTTTTTTCCACCCGCCACACTCGCCGCCAGTGGGTCAAGGTATTTTTTCGCAAGCACTAAGGCAGCACTATGTAGTGAGGATTTGGGTTGCAAGAATTCATGCTGGCTGTTCGACAGAGCCTTTATTAATAATGAGGAGGAAGAGCCATTCATGGCGGAGTGGGGGGGGTTGTTTGCCGCGGAGAGTGTTCTGGAGGAATCGGAGGTCAGAGAGCCAGCCATTAGCTCAGCCAGAAGGATGTCGAAGTAGGGAAACGGGAAAGAAAAACTGGCTATGTTCCAGCGTTTGTGGCGGGCGGTGGGGTGGGAGAGAGCTCAATAATGCGAGATTGTTGCGAGCGGGACGAAAAAATAAAAAATAAAAATATAATAAAAGATGTGAGAGGAAACTTACTTTTGAATGCCAAGATTTCGAGCGTCACTAGAGTACAGTACCGGTAGGTCGAATCCGAAAATAATGAACCCTAACCCTAGTCAGGGATAACACCATGGAAATGGAGATGGAGGATGTCTTCAGAGGGGAGATGTGAATAGAGGCTTCCTAAACGTCGTAAAATTATAGTACGAGAGTAATTAGAGAGAAAAAACGAATGGTTGATCGCGTAGCTGAATGCGAGAGGGGAAGCCGCATCCTTTGAGCCTCTGACCTTGACTTTAGGAACCCGTTAAGCTGAAAGAAAGTTAAGTCTTACCAGAGTCTGCCTCTCATTTGAGTATAAAATGTTCCGCTATCAGACATTAGGCAATATCAAGGGCTGGCCGACAGCATCGGCCCTCTATTTCTCCTACGGTACTAGGGTACAAAGGGTGCTATCGTTTGATCTACGTTGCTATCATACACTATCTCATAATATATGACAACCTGCGCTCATTGGACTACAATTTTTCCATGATCATGGGGTACGAACACGGCGGTAACGGCCGTCAGGGGTTTAGATCCTAATTTGAAAAGTACCAACAGCCAAAACGCCAACCCGAACCATCCTGAAAGGCAAAAATCCATTGATATGAAATTTAGATCCCTTACCATACCCTGGAATAAAAAAAGATAAGGAAAGGACAAAAACTTCTTAGTCGATCCAAGCGATTTTTTTTTTATCCACTACATTTAAGACATCCCTGAGACCCCCCCCCCCATTTCCAGCAGGTATCTAGTAGAAGCTATTACGGGAGTAATAGTTAGTAACTATAACCTTAGTGATTCCCGTATCCCATCCAAGGACAAACTTACAATCCAATGACCTTTCCGGCGACGTGCTTTCTCCTAGCCTCCTCGTGGTCCATGATACCGGCAGAGGTGGTCAAGACAATGAAACCGAACTGACGGGAAGGGAGAAGCTTGACAACCCACTTCTCGAGGTCGCCGAGTTTGACATTGTATCTAGGAGAGATACATCCAGTTTTGTTGATACGTCCCTTGAGCTGGATAACTATCTTTCCGGAACGGTGGTCGTCAACCTCCTCGAACTCGCCAATGTATTCTACATAATATATCAGCATGTCGCGCCGGATTAAACGTTTACGAGATCCATAGAAGAATCGAAGAGTGAAAGGAAGAGAAAACGTGTAAGAGTCCTGCGCATGGTATTTGATTTTCCGGGAACTTAAAGGACAAAGGTCGTGGAGAGTTCGAGACAGTTCGTCTAGTTATCATCCCGAGTATTGGGGGGAAGGGAAAGTGCAAACAGGAGCTCGAACCTCTGGTAAGGGTGGGGCTCGGGGCATATATAAACAGCTGGATCATGGGGCAATTACCGTGCTTTTGCATAACGCTCAAGAACTTGACAATGACTTTGGAGGAAGGCCTAATAAGGACCTGCCTCTTTCCAGCCTTCTCGGCGTTGTTGATAGCGTTCAAGCAATCATTGAGGACTGAAGTCTTAACCATATTGAATTGTGCTGTCTAATTGAGCGGAGGTCGCCAAAAAAAATCAGCCATGAGCCATTTTGAGTGTCCCTCTTTCTTTTCTCGAATGAGAGCATCTCGAGAGAAAAGGTAAGGGGGATTCAAATAGGCTTGTCGACTTACCTCGGGGGTGAAGATGAAAATAAGCTGGCGTCGGTCGGTCGGTTGGTGGTTAGGTGGATGTCGTGCTGTCGTTATTGCCGGAAACCGAAAATAATTTGATGGGTAGGAAATTAGAGTTGTGTGGGTTAGTGGGCATAGTGCGACTGCGTTTCTGAAACCCTAATCCATTACTCATCTCATGCGGTTCCATCCCATCTAATCTTGTCTTGCAGCCATCCTCGATAAGGCTTTTATTATCCTCGCCAGTGAGCAGTTACCCTGTCTTATTTGAAAGGTGGAGTGCGTGCCAAGTCGAAGATTTCTTTTTCCCTAAAAAAAATTTGGATTTCCCCCACGGCGCCTAATCGTGTCGGCCAAAGTAAAAACTACTTCACCGCGACCTATTGGTTCAATTGAACACCGATAATCAAAACAATGTCATCCTTCTTTTCTACCCCAGGTTCTCTGAAGAAGCGCAAACGATCAGAAGCAGCTACATGCTTTGGTGGGGGAAAACCCAAAAAGCCAAGGGAATCTTATAAGAAGAATGCGCCGGAAGATGACGATATATCAAGTGGTTCCGAAAGTGGTGATCAAGAGGGGAATAAGGGGGCACGAAGTGAGGATGAAGAGGATGAGGATGAGGAGTTTGTTGGGGAAACAGTGGCAGAGAAGAGGTTAAGACTAGCTCAGCAATACCTAAATAACCTCCGAGCAGAAGTTGGTATATTTACAACATTCAATTAGAACCAGAAAAACACTGACAAGAATGAACGATAGATGAAGTAGGATTTGATGCAGCTAACGTCGATCGCGATATAATTGCTGAGCGTCTAAGAGAGAGCGTGGTATGTATATTTTATATAACGCAAAGTATCCCCAAGCTAACCTTATAACTATTAAGGCAGAAGAGAAAGGTAAAGTTTACAGACATATCTCCTCACAGTTCTCCTTCGCTACCGCACATTCTACCCTCTTCCGTATGGATTCCGGACCTACTACAGGCATCGCGACATGTTCCCCGTTCATCTACACTATCACTAAAGACGGCTATCTCATAAAGTGGGAACTCCCAGTATATCCGCACCCTCCTGCTACCGGCACAAACTACACAGTCTCGCAAAAGCCAAAACGAGTCACGTACGTTCGGGCCCGTCGCAAAGTGGATGCGGACAGTTTCCAGGGCCATACAGGGTCAATCTTGTGTGTTGCGGCATCGCAGGACGGAAAGTTTGTTGCAACCGGGGGACAAGATACGAGGATAGTCGTATGGGATACAGAACTTCTGAAAGCTTTGAAAGTCTTTAAGTTCCATCGCGGAGCGGTGACTGGTCTCATCTTCCGGCGTGGGACAAATCAGCTGTATTCTTGCTCTGCCGACCGTAGTGTTAAGCTATGGAGTTTGGATGAGCTAGCCTATGTTGAGACGTTGTTCGGTCATCAAGATGAGGTCGTAGGTATCACTGCGCTAGCCGGCGAGCGATGCGTGACGGTCGGCGCCAGAGACCGTACAGCAAGACTGTGGAAGATTGTGGAGGAAACTCAACTTGTGTTCCGTGGAGGTGGAGGAAGCGGTGGAACTGAGTCGAGAAAGCCCCGGAAAAACAAGGACGGGAGCAAACGCTACGAGGAAGGCACAATCGACTGTGTGGCCATGATAGATGAGGAGCACTTTGTTACTGGTAGTGATAATGGGTATGCACCCATTTGCCTCAAGCCTCTTTCCACTCTAACCATAGTCGCACAGGGACATCTCCCTCTGGTCCATTTTCAAGAAAAAGCCCGTCCACACAATCCAGCTCGCCCACGGCCTCCAGCAAACCCTCCTACCAGCCAATCACACCGCTGAATCCAACCCCACCGACCCACCACCAGAGCCATGTCCCTGCTACGTCACTGCCTTAGCTGCAGTCCCCTATTCGGACCTAGTCCTCTCCGGTAGCTGGGACAACCAAATCCGCGCTTGGAAGGTCTCCGACAAGCGCAAACTCGAGCCTCTTGGAGCTCTCGGCCCCTTAGGCAAGGATGCTGTTCGCGGGGTAGTCAATGGGATATCTATTGTTGAGCGTGGTGAGGGAGGGAAGGAGGTGCTGGCTGTATGTGTCGGTACTGGGAAAGAGCTGAGGTTAGGAAATTGGCTTAAGGTGGATGGAAGAAATGGAGGGTACGTTATTGAGGTGGGTAGAAAGGAGGCTGGGAAGCCGGCTCTAGTCGAGCAAAGTGGAGCCGATGGACCCGTAGGAGAAGCCAATCTTGATTAAGCCGGCTGAGTTTGATCAACCCTTAAAGGGATAGAAGGGCGAGTATCTGTGTGATACCATGTATTCGACAAACACAAAAGCATGGGGAGCTATTTGTATATAATTACTTTACAATAATCTAGTTTTGGGCTTTAGCACCAATGACAACAGTGGAGTACAACCCGGTACCATCTCATCACAAATTATCACTCGGTCAGTCTTTCCCTAAATCGAAAATACTGCAGGGGCCCCGCCACATATCACCTGTTCAAAATCTATCGGCTCTCAGGTCTAGGTTCTCCCTCCCTTCTTCTATTTCTCCCCCCATCATTTATCGATCGATGATGTAACCCCCCTAACACCACCTCCACTATGCCCAGCCAAACCTCAGTCCCATTTAACTGCTCCAGGGGCATCGCCGAAAAGTCACTGGTCACTCCAGAGGCCCAAATCCAGGCCTGGAGTTCCGCACGCTGAAAGCGCTCTGCGGGGAGGAGCTAATAACTAAATGCAAGACAGCGCTGGATCCGGATGTGACACTCGAGAGTCGGGGGAGCGATTAGAGGGGTTTTTGCTCTGGTGTTCTACTATGCTTCGGGTGTGTGGTATCATAGGGGGGTGTTTGGCACTAGTTTATATCTGGCTTAGGGCTTGTGGGTTTGCTGTTATATTGAGCTCGTGGGAGCAGTGTAGAAATGAAGTGAGGATTGGAGTTGGCATCGCGTTCTGATTAGTTGTGAAGATATCAAGGAGAACAGCCAGTGCAACCCCAGCGGGGGCAGTTTTGACCCCACTGCAACCTCAGCCATCCACCTAAAGAACATGCAAGTACTTTAAGCCAATCTCAAGCTAGGAATTCTCGAGCAGATATCTGTGTACGAAGATCTATGTTTACATCTCCTTACCACACCGAACCCACCCATATACACCGCTGAGATAACCCCCCCACACTAATCTACCCACTCCTCACAGCACAATATTGGTCGTCTCCTTCGCCGACTTCGCCCTCGAAGCCATAATCTCATTCACAATCCCCTTCTTCGCCTCCTTAATCTCTTGCACCGTCCTCGCCCCCCCCCTCACCCCCTTCCCCCCCTCTACCGGCGCCGTATGCCTCCCATCCCTCTGCAAATTCCCGTGCACAACCACCTCAGGCCATACCTTCGCATACTGCGCATCGTAAATATTCGACCACTTAACCACTACATCCCCTTCCTGTGGTATTGGCAACTTAATCGGCGGATCCTTCTTCGCCTTCTCTCCCTTCCGGAGTGGCGGCGGGTTGGCAACCTTACTTATGCGGTCCACTTCCATCCTTATGCTTTCCGCCAGATCCGCGACCGAATTTGCCTTCTGGTTCATGAGGATACGGGTGCGCTCCTTTTTGGGTTTCTGGAGGAGTTCCTTGGAGTATGAGGTTTCGTGCAGGTGGCGGAATTCCCGGAGCATGCGGAAGGTGTTTATACCCATTAGGCTTTCCTTGAAGGTCACGGTTGCCATGGGTGCCCATACATCTTTCCGGAGGGCCGCTGGAACGGACTTTTTGCCGACGAAGGTGAGCTGTCGGAGGGAGTCTCTGTTCTGTTTTGGAATGATCGTAAGTAACGGTTCCCGCAAGAATGGGGGGGGTTGAGGGAGGGTACTGACGTCGAGAGTTCGCGAGAGTGAGTATAGCACTCGATTGCTCAGGAGATTGTTGTAGATGAAGATGTATTTCCCATGATCCGGGGGCACCGGATAAGGCTTAGGCATTATATTAATGACCTTTTTGACGACCTTTTTGACGACCGTTTTGACGACTTTTTTGACGACCGTATTGGTGGCCCCGTGGACCGGCTTTGTGGTGGCCATTGTGTAGGTAGAAGTGCTGTTGATATGATGCCGTCCGTCGTAAGGTTAGGAGTGGATAGCTCGAGTGTCGAATGGTCAAGGTTTGTTGTTTCCGGTCCCTCTTTGTCAGCGTACTACACACATAGAGGCTCAAGTCCACGTTTTTCTCACACCAAATATGAGACGAACAAGCATCTCACAACTATAGTCATGGCTTCTGTCGCTCCAAAGGTGTCCTCCCCGATCCTGAAAAACTCGCTAATTACTCCATGGGGTACGAACTAACTTTTCTTTTCTTTTCTTTTCTTTTCAGATGTCCTGGTTCAAGATCACCCTCATCCGCTCCGGCATCGGCATGACTGAGCGCCAAAACAACGTCCTGAAAGCCCTCGGCCTACGACATCGCATGAAGACAGTCTATCACCCTGTCTCCCCCGACACCGCCGGTATGATCATGAAAGTTAAGGAATTGTTGACAGTCAGCGAGGTCGACAAACCTCTTACACAAGCTGAGATCCATGCGAAGAGACAGCCGCCAAAGGGGTACTACGTCGAGAAGCAGGGAGTAGTAAGGGAAGACATCGAAGGCTCATGAGATAGGATGGCGGATATTCTGGAGGCTTAATTGTATCATGTCAGGGCTGGGTGGGTAGAGAAGGGAATATTGTGAGATATACGTTGGTAGGGTGATGATGAGTGAGGCATATAGGGGGGTGTAGATGGGGTCTTGGGACATTGGCATGGGACTGGAGTTAGATAGACTTGGGTTCCGCTTTATCCTGGCATCTACCTGATAAAATCGCAGCCTTGCAATTGTCCCTATAATAAGAATAATGAATCTGAGCTTTTTGGGTGCTCGCAGTGATATTTTGTGACCTAATCCTTTATCAACCAAAGAAACCAAAGTTACCCGGCCTTTTATTCTGGCCACAGGATCCCCCACCACCAAACCTCCAAATCTTTCAGCCAGCGCGACACCAACCAACACCTCGAGCTCTGAGCACTACCGTCGCAATGCCGTCCACACACGACAAAGAGAAGCCATGGGATACCGATGACATCGACAAATGGAAGGTAATCAACCAATCCCCCTCACAACCCCATAGTAAACAGAAAGAACAGAAAACTTAACAACCCCACCCCCAGATTGAAGAATTCAAACCCGAAGACAATAAAGCCGGAGCCTTTATCGAAGAGTCCTCCTTCGCTACGCTCTTCCCCAAATACCGCGAAACCTACTTGCGTGAAGCCTGGCCGCTAATTACCCGCACACTCGAAAAGCACCACATAGCCTGCACGTTGGATCTAGTAGAAGGTAGTATGACCGTGAAAACCACCCGAAAGACTTACGACCCCGCCGCGATCTTGAATGCCCGCGATCTGATCAAGTTGCTGGCTCGCTCGGTTCCCGTCCCGCAGGCGATCAAGATTCTCGAGGATGGGGTTGCGTGCGATATCATCAAGATTGGGAACTTAGTCAGGAATAAGGAGAGGTTCGTCAAGCGGCGGCAGAGGATTTTGGGACCGGGTGGGAGTACGCTTAAGGCTTTGGAGCTGTTGACTGGGTGTTATATACTTGTTCAGGGGAGTACTGTTTCTGCGATGGGAGGGTATAAAGGGTTGAAGGAGGTTAGGAGGGTGGTGGAGGGTTGTATGGATAATATACATCCAATTTATCATATCAAGGTATGGGCACTGGTGTTAGGAAGTGGAAGGGTCAGTTTGTGCTAATTCGGGAAACGTAGGAACTCATGATCAAACGAGAACTCCAAAAAGACCCCGAACTAGTCAATGAGAATTGGGATCGCTTTCTCCCACAGTTCAAGAAGAGAACCCTAAGCAAGCGCAAGAAGCCACGGAAAATCACAGACAAGTCGAAGAAGACATACACTGTGCGTCATCCCCATTGTCTCACTATTTATTTGGATACTAACTTGCCCAGCCGTTCCCTCCTGCTCCTGAGAAATCAAAGATTGACCTCCAGATTGAGTCCGGAGAGTACTTCCTTTCCAAACAGAGCAAAGAGCGCGCCGCGCGCGACGAGCGAGAAGAAAAACGCAAGGAAAAGAAGGAGGAAAAGAAGAAGGAGCGAGAAAAGGATTTTGTCCCACCGCTTGAGGCAGGCGATCGCAAGAATGATAAGAAGAAGCGAAAGCACGAGGGCGAGACAAAGGAGGAGAGGAAAGCTAGGAAGGAGGAGAGGAGACGAAGAAAGGCTGCCGAGGCATAAACATCAAAAATTACTCCTTTCCTTCCCCCATCTGCTTCTCACTTATGTGTATCAAGTCTCATGTATTTTCGAAGGTCTACTTGGAGTTTTATTGTTTTTGTCATATTTTAGATGAGGTTTGGATGGAGGAGGGAGAGGTCTCTCTCTTGTCTTTTTGTCTTTGTTGTGGCAGTGTACATTACATTTACGACTAGGTTGGTTCCCACCTTCAGCAACTGAGAATTAAAATGTGCCCCCTTTCGTGAACAAGTAAAAAAAATAAAAATAGAGAGCCAAACCATGAATCCCATCGAAATCGTCCCCCCACACCGTCAATCTCCCCTCAAATTAAAGATTTGGAAAAGGCCGTAGCATCTTCGTCAAGCATCTCACACCCTCGTAGCCAACCCCGGCACACCAGCATACCTCTCCTCCCTCTCCGTCTTGAAAAACAGCTGCAAGAAAAACTCTTTGCTATCCGAATCGAAATGTGTCCAGAACTTCCCAGGACTCCTATCCACCTCCCTAGCTTGTAACTTGAACGAAATCGTCTCATATGGCTCCGCAGCAACCAACAGATACTGAAAATTCTTATCGGCAGGGACCTCAACCCTCTGCTCGAAAGCGCTCATGAACCGATACCGGGGTTTAATCTCGGTACCGATCTCAGGGTACTGCAACTGGAAGAGCAACCCCAACTGCCGAGTAACGGGGTCCCGGAGCTTGGTAATTTTGTAACCGGGGCGACCGATTTTCAAGTGCTTTTTTGGCGCGATGAGCTGCTGCCCAATCATGCCTTGTGGCAGGCCGGTTATCGGGTCGAGGTTTCGACCCTCTTTGGCTTCGCGAGCGGCGCGACGGGCGAGGTTGGTCTGGTGCTTGCGGCCCTGGGTGTGGGCGAGGTAGGAGCCATCGTTTTGGTGGACTGTTAGACAGAGACGGCACTCAAAGGAGCCGACGTGGTTTTTGAAGCTATTGGGCTTGTTAATTTTTGGGTCTCCGCAAGTCAAAATTAAGGTGAAGGTGATTGCTCACAAGTAGGGGTCTTTGTCAAGGTCTATGGTCTCGAGTGCGAGTTTTCGGAGACGCTCACGTCTATCTTGGTTTGATACTGAGTGTGAGGCGACGCCTCCGCCGCCGAAGCGTGATCCGACCCTGCCTTCGTATGCCATTGTTGTCGCTGTTGGTGTTTGGTGAGGATGTTGAGTTGAAGACTTTGATGGAGGCGACGCGATCAGCTGTTGAACCGGGTAACCTTATCCCCAATTTCTAGACTGGACAGCCTCTCACCACCGCTCAAACGTAGGAATCACCTAGCGCACATCCTCACAAATACACTACCAGCAGCAATCATTGAAACCTAAATTAGTACCACTATCCCAACATCTACGATACAACAAAACATCCTTCAGGCAAAAATGTCCGAACCAATCCCCGAAGCGATCCCAACCTCCCAAGACCCACGCAACAAACGACCGACAAAACGTCGCGCCCTCTCCCCGGCTTCCGCCCAAGCCACCGCCCTAACAAACCTCTTCTCGAAGCCCGATCGAGAAATACACATGCCCACCAATCCCAAAACCAAAGTCCTCCCTCCGCCCCCTGAGATCGTCACAAACGTTCAGGGATCCAGCGCGGGAGCTGGATCAGGCGAGTTCCATGTTTACAAGGCCGCACGGCGGAGGGAGTATGAGAGGATACGGTTGATGGAGGAGGAGGTTGAGAGGGAGAAGGCCGAGAGGGAGTTTCTAGAAAAGACGGAGGGGATGAAGAGAAGGGATGAAGAGAAGACCGAGAAGAATCGGAGGAAGAGGAGGAAGAAGGGTGGGAAGGGGGGTGGGAAGAAGGGGGGTGGGGGTGGCGCTGCGGGTATCAAGACTGTCAATGGTGAGGTGGCATCGAAAGGAGGGACGGAAGAAGGGAATCGCGTGGAGGATGGTGGCGCTGATGGCGCTGATGGTGAGGCAATGGCACCAGGAGCCGGAGGAGGAGGGCTGATCATTCACGATGATGACGACTGAGGTGTTTGCTTTCAGCACGCTGGAGGAGCATATCGGACCTTCGAATGTCCTTATAGCTCTTCTTGCTAAGCATTGGCGTTTGGGATATATCTTTCTATCGGCGACTTGACACGCGCCGGAGCTATGGCGGCTTGGATACCACAGACACGATAGCTATGGAACGGCCACTGCGGATCCTGTCTTGCCCTGGGCAGCGTTGTGATACGGTCCGGAATGTACAGTACATAGAAATTCTAGAGCTGGTACAGTGCATGAGTGGACCAAAAAGGTCTGATCCGTAAGCGTGGACGATACCGCACTGTAGAGGATCATACAATTCGCCCAAAATCCTTACACCACATCTTAATACTGTCCCTCTTGTATCACTTTCTGCTGAGGTTCCACCCTTAAATTTTATCAACTGGGGACCGAGCGATAAGCATTGATTGTAATAATAGGGTTAGGTTTATCAGGCAATTAACGCGTCTCCGGGAACGGCGTGAGTGACACGCTTCACGTCCCCCAGAGCTTGACAACGGCGCTTTCGCACCAAAATATCAAAGGCTACACCCAAGTTCTATGTACAATCATGTCTGATCCAAATTCACCAAAAGAGGACATTGCTCTTCCAGACGCCCCAGCTACTCCCCAAGAATTTCAAGATGCAGACTTTGATTCAGCCTCAGACTCGGACTCCCCAGCTGGCAAAATAGATGTGAAGACAGAGCCACAGACCGATCCTCCAGAACCAGCTTCCCCTGCGAAGATCGAGATTAAGAAGGAGGAAGGTGGGGACTTGGATAATATATTCAAAGACGAGGAAGAAGAGGACTTTTTCGGCGACGACGACGATGCGGACTTCTTAGCGTCGGAGGTTGGGGCAGTGTATGTTGCTTCACATAACCTCTCACTTTTAAACTACCCGGGCTTGAGAAGATTATAGACTAATTGGATTTTGGATGAAGTTCAATAGCGCCCGGAAGTGGACCTTCAGACCCACAGGTCATCCTAACATTCTATCAACGCCTATTCCCGTTTCGTCCCCTCTTCCAATGGCTCAATCACTCCCCGATTCCGTGCCATGACTTTGGACACCGTGAATTCGCATTTACTCTGCAGAACTCAGCATATTTGCGATATCAATCATTTCCTACTATGGAATTGTATGCCCCCCCCCTTCCCCTCCTCCTCTTATCTGCCTAACGCTTCCCTAGACTCCGAAAAGAAATTCTCCGCCTCAATCCCTCCCGTTTCGAAATCGGTCCGATATACAGCGCCAATCCACGAGACCGCAAGACACTGCACAAGAGCGCCTTCCACCCGCTGAGCAAGGAGCTCGTCTTCGATATAGATTTGACGGATTATGACGAGATCCGTACCTGCTGTGATAAGGCCAACATCTGTAACTTATGCTGGAACTTCATTACTGTTGCTATAAAGGTGATGAACGCAGCGCTGAGAGATGATCTTGGGTTTAAGCATGTGCTGTGGGTGTACTCGGGGAGAAGAGGAGCCCATGCCTGGATCTGTGATAAACGTGCGAGGTCGCTGGATGACGCTAAGAGAAGGGCTATAGTGAATTACTTGGGACTAGTGAAGGGTGGCGGACAGGCGGGAAAGAAGGTTAACATCTGGAGGCCTTTGCACCCGCATATTTCGTGAGTCCCTAGACTCTAGAGCGTGAAGATATAGGCTCCTAACAAAGTATGCGCGAGGAAAAAGTCGCAGTCTAAACCTCCTAAAGGATCGTTTCGAAAACGACATCCTCCGCGAACAAGACCCCTGGCGCGACAACGAGAGAGCCGAAAAACTACTCCAGCTGCTCCCAGATAAAAGTCCCTCCCCTCCCCTCCGCCGACTCAAGAAAAAAAATGAAAGAAAAAACTAACACCCCCAGCCCTCAACGACGCCCTCCGCAAAAAATGGGACAACCATCCCAGCCGTCCCAGCCTCAACAAATGGGCCGACGTCTACGACGTAGCCAAAACCGGCGTATCCGAAGGATTAAACCCCGCCCGTCTGAAAGAGAGCAGGGAGGAGGTAGTCCTCGAGTACATGTACCCACGGCTCGACGCTGAAGTCTCCAAGCACCTCAACCATCTGCTCAAGAGCCCGTTCTGCGTGCATCCCCAGACTGGGAGGGTTTGTGTGCCCATTGACGAAAGGGATTTGGGGGCTTTCGACCCCATGGCTGCGCCGACCGTTCTGGGATTGTTAGGGGAGATTGATGCTTGGGATAAGGCGCATAAAAGGGAGGAGAAGGTTGATGGTATGCTTCTTTTCTTCTTTCTTCCTACCCGCCTCTTCTCGGGTTTGATCTTGGTGGTACTAATGGGGTTTGTGGTGGTAGATTATGAGAAGACTTCGTTGAAGCCGTATGTCGATTACTTCAAGACCTTTGTGAATGGCCTTCTTCGGGACGAAGCGGGAGTAAAGCGAGAGAGAGAAGGGAATAGTGGAAATTCAATGGAGTTCTAAATTAGGCCGCAACTGCCTCCTTTTTTCGCTTTATTCCGTCAAATACCACACCTGTATCGTAGAACTACAAACCCTTTAGTTATCATACTTGAACTGTTATGGGGAAAAGATTTCCCTATTTATCATAGCCTCTCACTCGCGTGAAAACAAAATTCCCACCAATACAAAATGATTACCTCCCCCACAAACTCCCTAAGAAGCCCCCCTTCTTCCCTTCCTTCTCCTTCCCTCCTTCCTCCACATTCCTATCCGTGACAGCCCTGGGAGCGCCGTCACTAGGATACTCAATAAAATTAAACGCCACATCTAAAAACACCGGCTTGACAGGAACCGGCGCGACCTTCGGCGGCCACTGGACAATCCCATTCTCAAAGTCGATCTTGCCCTCAGGATACTGGTCCAGCCTCTCCACCAAAACTCCCCCACCCTTACCCGCGGTCTTGGTTGACTTCGCCGCGATCAGGTCCATTTCTACGAGGGCTCTGAAGCGCGCTACTTCGTTTTCCAGCGTTGATATCAGGGACTGGGATTCCGCGGGGGCGATATCTAGGCCTTTGTGTGATGGGGGGGTGGCAATGGATTGGGGGATGGGTGGGGAGGAAGTAATGTGTGAGAGGGCGCGGGCGAAAAGTGCTAGGGCGTTTGTACGGTTTGAAAGGATTGCGTGGGAGCGCGCGATTGTGGAGCATTTGAGGGCGGAGAAGTAGGCCTTTTTGGAGTCGAGCTCGGAGGTGAAAGGTTCATCGGCCGCGACGCCGGGGAGGTTGTAGACTTGTTCTAGACTCTATAGATAAAACATTATCAGAATTGTAGTAACAGGGCAGAAGGGCGAGGGAAGGAAGAGATGGTGTACTTGGAGAATGGCATCATAAAGAGCTACCTCCTCTTTTAAGTGACCGAGCTTCTTAACTCTGACTTCTTCGCCACCCTTCTTGTTCTTCCTTTTCCCGCCTTGGGCTATTCCTTCGACCATCACGCGATTTCGCGCGATACGCCAGCAGATTAGGGAGTAATTTACCAGTGTCCAGGTTAATTGTAGATTTTGCATCTTTGGATCGCCCATGCTGACACCCTCTGCTGTCTGCCGGTCGATTGCCTTTTTGGTTGCGTCTACCACTTCTTGCCATGCCAGCAGCACTCCGTCGAAGGCTTCGGTCGAGCTGGGGTTGTCCTTCTGGAGGGAAAGGTATGCATGCTCCGCCGCCTGAGATGCTACTAAGGCCACGGAGATATCTGCGTCTTCCACAGGTGCAGTACGTGAGCGCCAGGTTACTGAAGTAACTGTCACACCTGCTCCGCCCCCTTCTGATGCCTCCGAAGCAGGGTCAGACAAGGCTTTTGCATCTAGGGCCTCAACCGCCTTCACAATCCTCTCATCCTGCCTAGGAAAGTTCTGCCTAGAGATAGTCGCGACATCCATACTCCTAGGTAGCTGCAATTGATACGCCGAGTATCGAATACTCGGATCGACGGTGCTCGTCAACTGGTCCTTGTAAATCTCGTTCTTTGAAAATGATAATAATGCCGAGTATATAATCTTTGATATAGCGAACGCCTTGATCGAGTCCTCCCAATGCGATTTTTCAAATGCCTCCGACCCGCGCAGTGATGCGGCATAAGCATTTGCTTCTAAGACGTCGTAATCCGTAGACATAGACGCCGGGTCTTCGAGGAGTGCGCATAACTGTACAGCATAAGACTGAGCTTTGTGTAGGCGGGAGACAAGATGTGACTTCATCGCTGCGGAGGCGACAGTAGTGTCGTCTGCTAAGAGAGACTTCATCTGCATTGCATGGGCCCATGCTCGCTCGGAGGAGTAGAGGTATAGGTGGACGAATCTATTGTGGGAATTGAATAAAAAGATATTATATCGAGGATTATAGAATTTCAAACCTGGGCTCTTGCGCAATTTCTTCCGCAGTCAATCGAGGCTGCGGTGCGTATTTCTTCGATTTGGAGGTCTGCCAGCCAAGTCGTCTTCGGAGAGTTGCCAGTCGACGAGAGCACATTTTTCGGACGGCGTGGTAGTCCCCAAGTACCTGAGCCTCCTGGCGGAGGGCGGAAACAAATGGGATGATTTCCATAGCTTCAAAAAAGGATTGTTGGTGAAGCTAGATTATAACACTGAGCAAATGCCGATACTGTATGATACGAGTAGTAATACCTCCCTTTGGTGGGGGGGCTGAGGGGCAAGGCGTGCCAGAAGTTACCGAGTCACGGGGTGCTTTGTGTCACTCAGCGAGCCTCCAACAACCCCAGTCCTCTTTGTGGCCGTGCAGCGAACCACACCGGAGTGGGAGGGAGCTCGACCACCGCATTCTCTCTCCCCGCTTCAACAACCACAATTATACCTTTGGAACCCACTCCGTAACCTAGAAATTTCCCTATTCCAACTTCTCTCGTTTAATTCCAAGATGAACGAAGCTCCTATTGGTAAGTTCTAGCATTCCCGCCGATTTCCCAGTTTGGCTTGCTGACCTGGAGTTCTCTCTTTCTAGTTCTCGATGGGGGAACTGGTTTGTAGGTTCACCTGAGTTCTCCGGCTATTGCCGATAGTTGGCGCCCTCGAAGAGACTCCCGAAAATACGGTATTAACGATGTGCTTCAATTGTTGTGTAGCCTTAAGGTCGGATACGCTGGCCAGAACTTTCCGGAACACCAGTACCCGTCTATCGTTGGGCGTCCGATATTGAGAGCGGAGGAGCGTGCTGGCGATATGGTACGAGTTTATCTGTTTAAGATGTTTAAGATGTTGCTTGGGAAAGAGAGTGCTGATTTTGTGGGAAGCAGATTGTGAAAGATATTATGGTCGGGGACGATGCTGCCGCCGTTCGGACGATGCTACAGATTACATATCCGGTATTACTGGCTTTCCTGTGCACGGTACATGAGCTGACAAGGATGATAGATGGACAACGGTATTATCAAAAGATGGGAAGACATGCAGCACGTGTGGGACTACACATTTTCAGAAAAGCTACAAGTCGATACCACCGGTCGTAAGATCTTACTCACGGAGCCTCCCATGAACCCGTTGAGCAACAGAGAGAAGATGTGCGAAGTTATGTTCGAAAGGTATAACTTCGGGGGTGTTTATGTCGCTATCCAGGCGGTGCTCGCTCTCTATGCTCAAGGTGAGAGATGATGAAATGCTATCGTCGAGTCGCATAGAGATAGTTAAAATGTCTTAGGTTTAAGTTCCGGTGTCGTCGTCGATTCCGGAGACGGTGTAACCCACATCGTCCCTGTATACGAGAGTGTGGTCCTTAACCACCTTACCCGCCGTCTCAATGTTGCTGGCCGTGATGTTACCCGCCAGCTCATCAACCTTCTCCTCCGCCGGGGGTATGCTTTTAACCGTACTGCCGATTTCGAGACTGTCCGCCAGATTAAAGAGAAGCTATGCTATGTCAGCTATGACCTAGAGCTCGACCACAAGCTCGCCGAGGAGACTACTGTTTTGGTGGAGAGCTACACCCTCCCAGACGGCCGTGTAATCCGTGTCGGTAGTGAGCGATTTGAGGCGCCGGAGTGCCTCTTCCAGCCCCACCTCGTGGACATTGAGCAGCCAGGAATCGCAGAGTTCCTGTTCAACACTATCCAGGCTGCCGACGTAGATGTCAGAACCTCCCTATACAAGGCTATCGTACTTTCCGGCGGTTCAAGCATGTATCCCGGCCTCCCTAGCAGATTGGAGAAGGAATTGAAGCAACTATGGCTTACCAAGGTGCTACACGGTGATCCGACACGACTAAGCGTAAGTTTTCACTCCTACCTAGCTCCAACCCAACATCATAAATCATGACTAATTCACTAACCCTTCCAACAGAAATTCAAAGTCCGGATCGAAGACCCTCCACGAAGGCGTCACATGGTCTTCCTTGGCGGCGCCGTTCTCGCGAACATTATGGCGGACAAGGAGAATATGTGGATCACAAAGGCGGAATGGGAGGAACAGGGTCCTCGTATCATTGAGAAGTTAGGTCCTCGGTAAAAATATCCGTGAGAGGAAGAGGAGCAAAAACAGTACCTTGTAGATGGTGGTTTGTGGTTTCCTTTTTTTTCTTTCCTTCTCTCTTCGTGCGCTCTCCTGATACCGAAGCCAGGGGATTAACTGGAGGGTTCCCTTGGGATTCAATAGAAGTGTGGTTGGTAGAGTGGGATGATGATGAAAAGGTAAAAATCTTATGTTGTGAATGAGAGAAAGTAATCGTGTTTTTTTTTCTTTCTTCTTTCTTTCTTTTGGGTTCTTAATTTGAAGTTGGTCTGCGCATGCGGGGTGGTTTTTGAAGCTCCAGCTTAAACCACAGCACGCTTGCCAGTGAAGTTCTACGGGTGTGATGGAATGCCCTATCAGACGACGAAATTACAATACGGTACTACGACAAAAGCACACCGACGCTAAAATATCTCTGATTTATTGTATCAAAGCTGTAATAAGCTCGGTTCACACGCTACAGAAATTATCATCTAAGCGTCCACCTCCATAGCATCTCCCGCCGTACCCCCACTGGCGGGGGCATCGCCCAAGTCGACGATGGTGACATATTTCTTCAAGTCTTTTTTCTCAACAACCATCTCCTTAATATACCCAGTTGTACCACGGGCAAACTTGTACGACATCTCCTTGGGCACACGTTCATTCGGCGTGATATGATTGCGCATGAGCGTCGCCTATCCATCCCCCAACTAATTAGCCCCTCTCCCTCCTACAATAATCGAAATAGTGAAAAACATACCCTCTCAGAAGTGATAACGCAGACATCGACATTACTCCCAGACCCCAAGTCGTTGAAAATACCCGCCAGAATAGCCTCAGAGCAAAGGTCAACCGCTTCCTCCCTGGTCAGGGACTTCTCCCACTTCGTCTCAAAGACCGCCATGGCGGCGAGGGAGCCAGAGCCCATGGTGACATACGGCAGCTTATCGGTGGACCCGTGAGCGTGGACGGTGAAGAGGTGTGTGCCTGTTGGATCTACGCCCGCGATGACGAGGTATGCGCCAATGTGTCCCTGGTAGCGGAAGAGGTGCTGCTTTAGGAGGGTCATGCAGGTCACAACGCGGGGTTTGCGACCCGTGCTTAGACTGTGGAGTTCGAGTTGGGAGGAGATTAAAGCTGTTGTGAACTCTGTGCTGTTGGTGGATGGTGTTGTATTAGCGAGGTTGGGAGCAGGGGAGGAGGGTGGAGAGGGGTTTACTCTGCAGCGGTTCCGGCTCCTATGGAAAATGTGAGCTCCTTGCCGATAGGGATAGATAGAGTTATCTAGATAGGCGGGGGGTAGAAACGTACCAGCGCACCAAATCTGGGGGGAAATGAAATGCAATTTCTCACAGTTCTTGTCGGCGACGATAGGACCGCTGGTGGCTCTTGTATCTTTATCCCATCACCCCAATAATTAGTCACCTCCTTTCCTTCCCCTCCCCTCCCCATCCAGCTTCTTCCAATAGGAGGTGGATAGCACAAACCAGCAGCTATAACGACCCCCCCATCAAAAATACATCCCACGATGGTGGTCCCCGTAGAAGTAGCTTTGGGCAAGGGCATACCCTTTGCATGTAGCGCCGCATTGCGGGTGTGATTGGAGAAGTCGAAGCCGGGCATTCTGATATTGTTTTTCCTTTTTTGATCACCGGTGTTTTTCGGAGGATGGGTTGGTGATGGGTCGGTGATGGATTAATGGAGGTAAGTGGGGGATATCTGGCGGGAGTTTGATGGTTGGAGGTGTGAAGTGACATAGGTGTAGAGGCTCTCTAGGTATGGGGAGCTCAACTCCTTGGCATCCTACATTTGGTCATCATATGTCACTCGGGGCGGAATCGGTGGAGTGGTGGGGTGTTTCTTGGGCACTTGCTGGGGGCTATCATATTATCTAACAAATTTCTTCTGCGGCTACCAGGATTGCTGATTAAGACAGCTTCAAGTAGTTCCCAAACCCCTCGTACTGTTTCATCTGCTCCACCCTAACGCCCTCCTGCTCCTCCCTCGTTTCGAGGGCCTTGACTTTCCCATCATCCCATTTTGCTAGAAATTCCTTCAAGGCTGTAACTGTCTCCTCATCATCCTTGATTATGAAAGCAACGGCATCATATCCGCCAGCACCAGGAACCACGCCTCCAAGCACCCCGGGGACTCCCGTAGAGACTGCGTCCAGTAGCTTCGTCTGCTCTTCCGGTTCAATGGGCACGCCCGCTGCCACTCCCATGGCACGGATATTCTTCCTGATATCTAGGATCTGCTTTCTGACATCATCGTGACTGCTTTCGCTCAGTTGCCCAAGCAGGTCAATAAGTCCACGATTTACCCTCTCGAGCTCATCCCATTGCTCCCCCGCAGCCTCCTTCTCACTCTCCCGCCAGGCGAGCACCCTCTTGACCATTCCAGGAGTAGAGCTTCCACAGTCAACATCTCCCATAACTACCCTCACGCCCTTTGGGATCTTAGTCTTCTCAATCCCTACATCCCAGCTCAGATCCACAGCTTCTCTCAGTTCTTGGGAGAACCTGGGTGTGTTTGCTTCCGGGAGCGCTTGTAGAATCGACGGGGAGAAGCGGCGGTATACACATGAGCCGAAGACTGCTGCTGCTACGTCGAAACCGCTCCCAACTTTGCCTTGGGCTACGCAGTGGGCTACTTGTGAGAGGTTGTGAATTTTTGTCAAGTAGGAGGGGGTGGAGAGTTGGAGGGGTGCGGGAGAATACGTTTGAAGGAGACAGGTTGTTAGGGAAGTGACTAGCGCTGCAGAAGAGCCGAGACCTGTTTTGTGGGCGGAGGAGAGTGGGACGTTCTGATTGCTGAAACGCTGGAGCGGAACGGCAGAGGTTGGCTGGGAGTAGTAATCGTTATCCGCTAGGATTGTGATTTCGCTGCTGGGTATCTTGGGCAAGGAGAGGTATGAGAGCACGTAGCGGATGGTGGTCTCGACGAAGGTGTTGTTTGAAGAACTAAGGTGGAGATTAGCCCTGATTGGGTTGAAAGTTTGACTGGGGGAGATACCTTTTGTCCGTAACATGCTTCACAGATACCCCATTCTCGGAGGAGGACAGTGTGTATGTCCATGTTGCATTCGAAAATTGAGGGGACCTAACGACTATTGCCCCAGTTTCCGAAGTTGAGATCGTAGAGATCGTATGAATTCTGGCACTTAGCCCGAATACTAGGCCAGAGTAACTCTTGTCAAGGACAAGGTAACCTCCCACGAGGAGGACCTTCCCTGGTGCTGAGACAGCAACTGACATGAGTGCTTGATCCAGGTCCAAAGTTAGTGGTACGAAGATTGCAAATCCCAGACTTTATTTCAGTGGGGAAAACTCAAAATTGCAGGGATAATATTCAAGATAAGTTCTGTAAGTAGCCGGGTAACCTAAGCAATTATATGCACGGTACTTGTACATAATAATACTCGTATTAATTATTATCATAACTACATTTTTATATTTTCTCCATGCTTCCTCGTATGTACTAAAGTTGGTGCAATTACCGTAGGGTTTCAAAAAGTCCTTGAAACCCACTAATCACAGCGACATCACTCGGGGCCTAAAGTGATCCGATTGGTGAGAAAGACTTTTATTTTTATTTTTATCTAAATCCCATCGTCTCAACCCACATGCCCTATTTTATCCCCAGAACTTTAAGTGTTGGAAGACAAGATATCCGAGTCACCCTGGTCGAGGATAGCCATGGTAGAGCAACGAAAGAGTTTACCACAGGCAGTGCCAAGTTCAATCTGCCCAGCTTAAAAATTAGCAGAGTTATCCCTCCGAAGCACCTCGCTTCTTCTCAGGGATGAAGTCGCAGTTCAAAGAACCGCTTCTCCTTTGAGAGCATCAACTGGGCGAAGAATGGGATGGTTGTCTTACGTTGTTTCCAGCAAAGTGGTGAACGTGACACTTGCCCAACATGGAGTAGTACTCGAGCTCAGATTTGCGGAGAGGAGGTGTGTTGCCTATCGAATTATCAGACTGTGGTCGGAATACAACCTTTTGCACCAGGAGCCCTAGACATACCGGCAATGATGACAAGCTTAGCCTTTCCAGAACGGAGAGTCTTCAGGGTGGATTTGTAGCCGAGCACGTACTTCCCCGACTTCATGACGAGAGCCAGACGGGTGTTGATGCTGTCGGCGGTCTTCTTGGTCTTCTTTGTTGGGGCTGCAAATTTGGCATTAGTCTCTGTACTAGAGGGAGTCCATCTGTAGGGGGAATTTTGAGCGTACCCATCGCTGCGCTTTGTTTATAGAAGCACTCCGGTTTTTTTCAGAATATGGTTGATGGGTGGTAGGCGAGTTTGTGAATCCTCACTTCTATCGAAGAAATTATCTGACACTTTTGTGGAATGTATGTTTCTCGGAAGTTGGTGTGAAGAGAAGTGACTCTTTTAGGGCATGCCCTAATCTGGAGTTGCCAAGCGAGTCTTATCTGATCGTGCTACTACAGGGCAAAATAACGGGCGCTAGGATAATAATGATGGTAACTACCGTACCCGTACACCCCCAATGGGAGATTGTTCCTGGTATATCACCGAACCAGTATGCACCCGAGTAGATTTTACCGCTTGCCCTATGAGTACGATACAAGTAGTGGGGCAACTATAGTTTTCTCCACCCATGGCGCGGTAATAACGGGCATCTGTTTGGTCCCAGGAAATTTTAGTACTGTGGCTCGGTCGTTTAGGTTGCGGAAGAGAGCTTCATTGCCGTCGGGCGTAGACTACTAGCACGATGGAGAAGGGGTCTTTGTGTTCGAGTATTGTGCTCGAGTATGATATTATAGACTAACGGTTTGTCCAGTTTAGTGACCTCATTGAAGCAGGATTCAGTGTACTGTAGCTCGTACGGTAACAATGCAATGTTTGCCCAAATTAGATGTCGGTATATTTCCGGCAAAGAGGAAGTCATACTGTATATAGACGACCGCATAAAATTTGTAAAATGACCAAAAATCAGATAACGACTCGCAACCAAAGAAACCTGTCCTTCTCCGTAATATCACGAGAACGTTCTAGTTATTTACAACAAAAAAAAGGCAAAAAAGGCAGAAAGCGCCACCCCAGGAAAACTAGAAAACGGAAACCAGCAGAGGGGGCGGATATCGGGACTATGAAGTGCTTCATTCTGTTCCATCGGAGCTACCCAACAAAAAGGCCACGGTTCTCCACCGCCAATACTTTCGTCAGTTGATCGCCATCCTCCTCAAGCTCCAAGAGAGTCTTTCCCCTGAGATCGGCCTGACCCTCCAGCCAGATCAGAAAATTTGCACTAGGAGTACAAGCTTCGTCACCTGGGTGCTTGCGCTTCAAAGCGCTCAAGGCGCTGAATACCTTACTCTTAAACTCGTCATTCTCGAGGTCTTTCTGGTTGGATCGGTTCAAAAGAGCATCCTCAAAAGGCCGGTAGAAGCTTCTCTCATCGTTAAGGACACGATCAGGGCGGTAACGATTTGGAATGTTATCTTGCTTCTTGACACCGGGCTCGGCCTTCAATTCCGATTCTGCACGCATATCATCGTTAAGGAAGTTATCCTCGACAAAGGTGGCTGTCTTAGCCATGAACTCAGCGTTTCCTTGTGCGAAAAGATCTTGCAGCGTGCGCATTCCACCTCCAATAAGGAACTCGGATCGAGTGAGGGGAGACTTGATAGCTTTGTTGAGAGCATACAAGATCCGTGCTTTGGCACCAGTATCATTCTCTGTCCCGAGAGACGATAGGAGCGAGCGAATCAGTGGGACAAGGGGGTCTGAGGTGGCCGAGGAGAGAGCCTTAGGATTGTTCGACAAAGCATTTCCCAAAACAAGGGCAGAACTCGACCTGACGGAAGCATCAGGGGCGCTGCTGATCAGGCGTAAAAGACTAGCAACGTAGCGTGGGGCTGAGATTTGTAGTCCCCAGTAGATTTCGTGCGCAGAATCCTCAAGCGAAAGAAGAGCAGCAATGATATCAGGGGTTGATCGAGAGGATGTATCAAGGATTATCTCCAAAGATTCGCTAAGCGTCACGCTATCTCCAGGGGCAGATGATGGGGGTTTGATAGCTCCGTCATCAGAACTCGGAACCCGCTGCCTAGAGTGGTCATCAGGTGGTAATGATTCCGCTCCCTGATCTGGTAGTACTACTACGCCACTGATAGTTTCCGAGCTGTCGTCTACATTGATTTTCGCTTCCTTCAGTCCGGTTTCGAGGTTGAGTCTGTAATGGAGGCCACGAGGTAATTCCTGATCGTCGTGCACAACTTGAAATTCATGGGTGGGTTGGAAAACTCTGGGATAACAAGTTCCACTATGGCATATGAGGTCCGGTGAATCTTCGTGCAAGGCGTGCTTAGGCTGGTTATGGGTTCGCTGACCGGTAACAGCAGTTACGAAAGCTGGTGCAGCTACGAGACAAGGAAGAAGCAGAGACCTCATAGTTGAGCCTACTGTCGTGAAGTGTGGTGTCTTGCTGCCTTTTGTCTAAGCGAGTGGAAAGAGGGAAAACGAAACTGTTCAGAATAGTGGTGCGGGGAGTATAGTTGGTCGGTGAATGAAGAATAGAGGGATGTTGTACGGCGGTTGAAGCTAATATTTTGTATTGAATCTCGGTGCGGTGCGGTGCGAACGAGCGAGTGCATGGGGGGAACACTCGAGCACTGTAGTAGTCTAGTCTAGGTGTCTTCACCGATGAAGACAGTTTGCCACAAAGGTTTGCCACCAACCGCAGATAAAAGCCTGCAACCTCTCTACCGGTACGGTAGTCCACTCGAGTATCATACTACGGCGTATTACGGCGGGTCAAGTAACTTAGACATTGAGTGCAAGAAAACTTAAGCGAGGGAGGGATGGGAACACCATAGGAAAGTTCGAAGGCCGGGTAACCAAGCCATATGGCAAGGCAGGCACAAATAGCTCCAAGGTGTCCAATTACTTTATAACCAGCCAGGTTGCTATGTGTATGAGGTATTATAATGGTCGGCATTTTTATCTTTTTAAGTCCATTGATTTTTTTGATGAAATGTGAAACTCATGGCTAGGAGGCTAGTGCTGGGGGGGGTGTCTCAGACTGTACGTCGATACCTTTAGTTACTATAGGTAATGTGTTGAAAGAAAAAAAAATTAGGTCTGGCAAGCACCCTTGTACTCACCCCTCTTTACTAAGAATACCTTCTTGGGCGTCAAAAATATCGGGTGGCGGAGGTATTCTTGACAAAGACAAGTGAGTAAGGTATGGCGTAGAGGGATACAGTAGGTGAGCACTCAAATCTTGTACTCAAGAGGACTCTATGAGTTCCCAGCGAGGAAATATCCTCAGCGAGACTCGACATAGACTATTTTGCAGGCAGGTCTCGTCGACCAAGCGAGGTTTTGAACCATCCTTCCGAGTGGTTTATGGCAATTAGTAAAATAAGACTACAGTTCCAAACCCCCCTTCCACCATACCTTTATATAAAGGTCTGATATGGACTTTTTTCTGTAAGTACCGTATTGACTCAATGCATGCTGGTATCATACTAGAGTGAATGCTGGTAGGTAATTGGTTAGAAGATTGAAACAGTCACTTTGTGGTTCAATATAAGTTATTTATCCTTGTTATGCTTTGTACAGTACTCGTATGGGGAACGGTCGACAAATGGAATCGTCGCAGCGTTGCCAAACAGTCCCTTAAATTTATAGTTGAGTGCATGACTCGGACTCGTCTGGTTATAAAGTATGGTGCAAAGCGTCAAAAGCGTGTATGATACCTATCTGGGTGCACCCATGTAATGCTTAAATCGTTAGAGGGTATCAACATTGAGAGACGCGTCTTTTACTGTC